CTTTTAAATTTTGAATGGAATTTCGCCTTTTTTTCAAACAGCAGCCTCTGCAGCTGCGGAGCCGTACCCGGCGGTGGAGGCGCGCTGCGGGTGCAGCTCAGTGAGCTTCGGGTGATCGTTACAGCTTATCTTTGCAAAGTCAAGGACGAAAGGAGTTGTGGTCCGGGTTTTTTTTTGTTTTTTTTTTTGTTTTTCTTATTAAGTGTTGCAAAAGGGAGTATCTTTCATGGAGTAGGAATTTATAGTTATCTAAGAATGTCTTCTTTGCATGTCTTCATCCTTTGAAACCGGTTTGCTGGCTTTGATGTGAATTTCAAGGAGATACTCGAGGATATTGCTTAGAAGGATCAAACTTGTACTGAAGATATATCAGAAAACTTGTAACAGTTTTGTGTTCGAGAGGGGAAAACAATTTATTGCTGTGTGAACAGCTCAGTATCTTCTTAGTAGTTGAATGTAGGTTTTGCAATTATGCTATATTGTTCCGAGACAAAAAAATACAGTTTTGGTAGTTTGTGATGGCAAAATCAGCTGTCGTTATGTTAAACACGACTGTTGTGACCCCATGACAAAGTTTTTGTTAGCACTGCTTAGTTACAGAGTTGACGGTAACCGCTTCCTATCCTACTTATCTGAGGTCAAATAGTTTGTGAAGGTTACTTTTGTGACTCAGAAGCACATAAAAAATGATGTATTTATAAAATGTGGGTTACAAGCGGCAAAGCAAACTACAACACTAATCAGTCTTGATTGTGTATATACCCACACACTTAAATAGATCTGAAATCCTTGCCTGTAGTAAAGCGTAGTAGGCATTGTAGGAAAATTGCAAGAATGTTGGCGTTGCATGATGGTCTGTTTTTTTACATTTCTCATTTAAGCTATGCTCATAGAAAAGTTACTGAACTCTATTCAGCACTGATAAAGTAAAAACAGTAGAACAACAAGTGGTTTGCAAAAATCCCTGCGTAAGCACTTAATTTTGTCACATTTTTCCCCTAAATTTTGTCTTAGCCATTACCATTTTTATTATTTTGAGACTAAACACAGCAACTATTTCTTGTTATTAATTTTGAGAAAGCTATGAGACAAAGTGTCAGGGGAGATCCAAATTCCTTAATTTAGCCATACAGGAAAAGGATGAAGTAAACCAAAAACATATTAGGTAATGTTTATAGCTAGGTGATGTGTCTCTGTAATTGCCTTGAGATGACTGCTGTCTTTCATCATATTAGATGCAAAATAACCTCATCCTAACAGAGAGGAAAATGACAGATGAGAAAGCTTTGACTGCTGCTTGTCGCAGTAGAGGGTAAGACTAAAATTTTCGTTGTCATGAAACTTTTGTTTGGCCCCGTTCATCAGGCTTGAAATTGGCATCTTGAGTAGATGAACGACACCAAAGAGTGATTTTTATCTTTCAGTAATACCTTTCAATGATTACTGGCAGAGGGAGGAGGGTAGAGCTAAGCAGTACCCTTCTGAAAGGAATTTAGAAAATGTCTTCGGTATTTTATTTGAGCTGTTGGGATCGTTTTACTTTTACGTGTCTCTGGAACAGTACACTAGTGCATGAAAACTCCACAGACATATAACAACAACAAAAAAAAAGAACTTTGGAGAATTGCAGGCATAAAATCTACAAGCAACAAGTTGGCCCTAGTTACAGGCAGAAATCAGAGAGGGAAAATAGAGCTTCACTGAGTGGGAAGTGATCAAAACTAAGTGGATATTTCTGGCATTTTATAATGTGAAAGAGAAACTAACAGAAATAAAATGGTTTTGAAATGTTACTTGCAAACTTTGATGTTAATAAAGCATTATCAATACAAGCATTCTGAGATCTCTGATAGGCAAATTGGGCAAAGTGTTATCGAGAAAGAAGTCAACCTTACCCGGAATATACATACAAGATGGTTAATTTGTGAACTGTTGTTTTTTTGTGTCCTCTCCCCTTTCCCCGCCCCTCCCAAGTACTCAAATTTGTGGTAGTCTGTTTTCACATGAGTGAGGAAAATGTGACTTGCTGTGTAACAGTGGCTTACCCTTCTCACAGTCGTTGGTGTGTGTAGCTGCTGTGGCTATTCTGAAGCGATGTGCTGGCTGGCTGGCTGGCTGGCTGGCTGGCTGGCTAGTGGCTGCTGCCAAGCAAAATGTGCAATAGCCAGGTGCAACCTGCCTTCTCTCCGTATGACTCAGGAATGAATCTCTAAAAACTCTCTGGGCTCCAATTTTCATGCAGCTTGTAGTTATTTATGTAAAAATTTTCTTTTTATCCTGCAGATCTTATGAAAAAAATGATATTCTAGAACTTGTCTTTCTTTATCCTAGGATAGATTATTTTGCAAAATGAAATAAAAATTGAATATTCCCTGCATGCTGAAGTAGAATTTTCTTTTCTTTTTAAATCGATTTATATAAGACAGTTTTTAAAATGGCTTTTTTAGAACATGTTTTGATTGTTTAATCAGAGAATTAAACTAGTTAGCTTCTGGATGGCAACAAACCTTTAATATTAAGTTTCTAGCTGTAGTTAGAATAGTTACAATCAAAACAACATGTTTAAGCTCCCTTTTCCAGCACTTCGGTCCATACAAAATGAATTCCTCTTCGTCTCCATTGTCTGGAAGGGCCCTTTAGCCTCCCATGGATCCAATAGCAGGTTTGGGGACTAACATTTCCTTGTGGTTTCTTAGGGTGATAAATTCGGCGTGGAAATTTTTCAACTGCACATTCTCCCCAGTACTTTGTGTTAGATGTAACCTTCATTCTGGTTGCAGCAAAAATTAATAATCAACTGTGCTGATACATCATATTTTCAGAAATTAGAACAATTTTATGCACATATATACCCATGAATATTAATTATTAGGGAGATATATTACAGATTCAGGTTATCTCATTTTGTTTGTTTTCTGAACATGAACTGTTATGACACTGGGATTTATAGAAGTTATAGAACAGCCAACTGGGTCCAACCAGTGTACTAAGTCCTGTATAAATATGTAGGTAAAAGGGACCCACTAGTTACCTTAACATCTGAGGAGAAAAAAAGATGTAGTTCAGTTAAAATAAATCACATGCGTATTGCTCAGTTGTTTGGGTTTTTTTTTAATTTGTCTGTGTAGAAGAGATGCAGGATAAAAGGAGAGATAAAATAAAAACCTGGAACACATGAAAAGAGTGGTAAAAACAAGCGGTAATGGTGCAAAGCCTGACTGTGCACCTGAACCGTTGAATGTAACCCAGAGAAGTCAAAGTTAAGATGTCTGTTTCAGTCAGATGTGGGTTTGAGTATTGCGGAGGCCGTCAAAGCTGGTAGGCTACTGGAGAAACTTTCCCGTGGGTTTCTGCTTTTATGCCTTACTTAGCTGATGGTAACCTGTGAATGGCTTAGTAAAGCAGGTCTGTAAAAACTGAGTGTCATGTGTCTTCGTATTACAAAATCTATTTAATTTTCAACCTCCTGTAGAAGCAAAGGAAGAACAGAGTCAACAAAGGTTCGTGAGTATTTACTTTGGTGTGACAACCCCAGTGTGCGTTGGCACTTTGGAAGCAGGAAGCAGAAATCCCTGCCCTGAGTAGTGTCCATGTGCTATGGGCGAGAGGCAAGGGGAAGACTTGGCAGGTCACTCAGCGTGGTCTTCAATGCTTGCTTTGCCAAGAGCTTTCGGTTTCAATAGAGATTCTTTTTTAATGTATTTTGGGAAAGGTGAGGGGCAGGGGGTGGCAACAGCAGCAGCATTTGCCAGGGCTGAAATTGGAAGTGTAGCAGGAAAGGATTATGTTAATAAAAGAAAAGCTGACAAAAGCAGAATGGGAATGACTTAAACAGTTGACGGATTTTTCAGTATATGGGTATGTATAAAACTATTGAATGTTGTTGAAGGTCTGTTGATTCTGAATGAGGTGAAGTTTGTCAGCTACAGGCCGGATTGCAGGGAGATGACAGTGGTTATTTGGCAAAAAAATAAAACAAAATACCTCACAACAACAATGACCTCATGGTATTGGTCTTCTAAAGAATGCCTATTGCTAATAAAGCCAGAGGTCTAAGTAGATATTGCTTTAAATGTTGTAAATATAGGTTTAACTTCTGTTTAACATTTGATGTAAAACAAAAACTTCCTTTTCTTGCAGGTAAGCGGAAAGGGATCAAAAAAGTTAATAACATGGGAGGAACACCCAAAATCTAGGTTGTTCAGAGCTGATTGAGTGATAATATATTAAGGCTGCTCCTGGGTACTGCCTCTTATTCTTTTTAACACTTTATTTGTTCAGTTTTCTTAACAGTAATCAGTATAAACTACATAGTATTCATGAAACACTACAAATCAGATTTTTTTCAGAAATACAGAAGTGCCACATCCACATCACAAATTTTACCCCTAAATTAATTAATTGCATTGTTATAGGTATGATTAATGGTCAGACTTGTGAATAGCTGCTGGCAAAACATAGAAAACTATTTACTCAAAGCATGCACATTCCCTGCCAAAAGTATGATAACCGTACTAACTTCCCTAGCATGGTGTCAATGTGTAGGATTAGCTTTGTATTTACTAAGGCAGTGGAGGATGTGGAGATCTGCTTCTGTAAATCTCACTAAGACTGTAAAGGAGTGAAATGGTGGTGCCCATTAACTTTTGCACCTGGCTTCGTTTAAACCTCTTTTAAATCCTTCTGGATGTGTAGATACATCTTTAAAGTGGTCATCGTTTTAAAATCTAGATTTGTCTGACAAATGTAGGTTTCAGAAGTTCCGTCTGTAAAAGGTTTTCTTATGTTGATTATTGCTGCGGAACATGGGGCCGCTTTCTTCAGCTGTGCTCTGAAATTATTTCATCAGTTTTGAGAGGTGTTCATTCTGTAAAGTTGTAAGCAGTTGTGTTTGTTTAGGGAAGAAAAAGAAAACATACATCAATATAGTAAAATAAATATAATAACATACATAAATAACATACACAATGTTACTGTTTGCAAGCTCCAGCCGTGCTTTGGAGCCCTTGTGTATTACAGAACAAAATAAAACTCTCCACATCAAAGAGTTTCATGTGATTGTCCAATGCGAAACAAGGCTCTGCAATGTGAAGACAAAGTAGCAAGGAGGCGGCACATGCCTTCCCTCGCTCCTTCAGAATGGTGATAAAGCGTTGAGACAATTAGCAGCCCTTTTATCTCAGAGATTGTGTGCTAGGTTGTACAGGGCTGTGAGCTGTACTACAGGTATCAGCCTGGCTTGATGAGAGTGGCAACTCCTTTGCGAAGGAGCACAGCTGCTGAGCGCCTTTGATGGAGACGAATGTGATTAAACTTGATAGATCTAATCCAGTGTCTACTAGTGCACTGAAGAAAGATTAAAGAAGAGTTGACAATATTAGAAAAACTAATCCAAGGTAATTTATCTTCAGCTGCAGTCCAAACTAGTAGTTTTGCCTTGTTCCCCAGGGATTTCTGTGTGCATTTCTTGTCAGAGGCTTGTTTTACTAGACGTTCACCTATTTAGAAAGCTGTTCATGTTTTTTTCTGTTTAGAACGGGTAGGAGCTGAACTTCTAATTTATTTTGGCCTGGAACCAATGCTGAAGTAGAGGAGCATAAAGTGAAAAATCTTCTCTATCTCCATTGGAATACCTTGTTTCAACAGCAGTCATTAACTAGGGGAGATATGCATTTTGTAATGCATACCTAAATGCACTAGGATTGCAGTTTTGTTTGTCCTGTGTGGGAGCTGATGGAATAAAAATCTCATGTTCTGTCCTCTGCCATGTGTACTCTTAGCATCACCTAAGCACTTTCTTGTTCTGAAGGTGTTAAATTTCATCACTTTGGAGTCACTATCGATAGAAAAAAAATGTTCTATCTAATGAAACTCCTACTGAGACCTCAGGTCTGAATTTTCATATTGAAAGATTTAAGTAACAAAGGCGAAGAAACCCACTGCATTCTGCTCTACCGTAGAAGAGCAGAACCACACAAAAATGAGAAAGCTTACTATAAGGAGTCTAAAAGGCACAGCGAAGAGAGTTGTACAAGTAGGGTGGGGGAGACAGTGCTAGAAGCGCGGAGCCAGTGCCTGCAATCTGTCAGAAGGGTTTGACAAAGGGTGAAAGGAAGTTGGTGTGGTGATTGCTGGGGATCAGAAAGCGTCATTCAGAAAGCTGAAGTTACGTCCAAGTGACAGAATTCAAAAGGACCTTTAGCCTTGGCAAAGTAGAAGTAAAAGCACAAGTGGGCAAGCCAAAAAGTGACTTTGAGGAGCAGGTAGGAGTGTCTGAGTAGGCATGGACTCTTCAACTTGGGAGAGAGACCGTGGAGGTGAGATATGATAGAAGTCTGCAGAATCCTGAGCAGTGCAGAGAAGATTGATAGCCATTGCTTTTTTCCACCATTTCTTCCAAAATTAAAATGAGGCAGTGTTCAAGGTAACTGAAGTCTAAAAACCAAAGTGATTCCTTGTGTAAGAGACACTTGAGGACTCTATTTGGGTTAAAGTTTACGTGCATTGAAGGAATGACTATGTAAGTTTGTAGAAGAGGACCTTGTGAATATTGCTAAATACATAGAAACTGCAGGAAATTGCCTGAGCTGAAAATAGTGGGAGGCCATGGGATGGTGAAGGAGGAGTAGCTTTCGTGCTGATATACTTTAGCACTGAGATTGATGACTGAACTTGCAGGTGAAAGTGGGGACTGGTGGAAAAGTGAGTTTAGCCCATTTTTTTGTAAGCGTCAGTTATTCTGGCAATAACATACTTGGAATAAACGCCCTTGAGTTGATTATTCAAACAAAAAAGCATTGAAGCAAAAATATTCAAAAAATGCGATGTCTAATGGTTTTGTTTTCATGCTGTCTTCCTAGGAATCTTGTGATCATATTCTTTTGGATATTCCCATCACTAGAGAGCAGATGAATCGCTATCGAGCTGCAGCTGAAACTGCTCAAAGTGAACTTGCAGCACTTTCAGTGAAGTATGATTGCGCCCAGTCAGAGGTACATTTAAAATACTTCCAAATCCTTCTCCAAACCTGAGGATTCTCTGCAGTCGTATTCTGCAGAGAATAGAAAGCTTGCTGAAATCCCAAAACTACCTGCTTTTGATACAGGACTTTTGTTTCTTGTAACATTCTTCTTTTTAGAATTTCTGTGTGATTTTTTACTCTGCTTGCTTCTGTGTTCGAGAACTTATTAGGAGTTTACATCTGAAAGATTTAAAGATGTCTAGCATTTTATCATCATCATCTAAATGCAATTTTTTTTAATTGAACCTGAAATTTAGTATTTTGAAATTATGGTTGTGTAAAAGTTCTGATAGATGTCCTCCTGTCGTTGCTGGTGAGTGAAGATAGAACTGCCCATCTTCACCCATTTCTCCACTTTACTCAAGTTACAGCTCCCTAAATTTGCTTTGATTTCATCACCAGTGAGGTTGTGTTTGAGCTAATGATGTTGATTGTAACTAGAGAGGCTGAAGAGCACACACACATCCTTTACTGCTGTCCCTGCTGTGCAGGTGATACTTCTCAGGAGAGAGGAATTATTAGAGGATAATTTTTAGAGTTTCTGTACCTTCACAAGTAATTTTTTTATTTTTAACATATGACTGAAGAAGTTTGATTTGATCCAATTGAGAGATGCAGGTAGTGGTCAGTTTTAAAATGGAGTTGAATTTGCCTTTAGGAGACATGAAATGCTTACATTTATTTACATACATAGATTTAGGTGTATATATTCATGAATATACATAGATACATAAAGTTCAATAGAAACTGGTAAACATTCATCCAACTAGTTGTTTTAACGTCTGTACATTTTACAAATGTGTATTTCTATTGCACATTGTAAAGTGCTTTGTGATATACTTGTATAGTGCTTAAACATGAAAAAAGGCGCTGTCAATGAAATAAAAGTTCTGTAATTGTGGATAGCTGAATATGGGAAACAGCAAGAACATGTTATATTACAGGAGAATGGGTTTTTAGTACAGTATCCAGTCAGAACTACAGGGATAAGTGTCCATCCGCTGAACTCGAATTTGACCAGTTGATCCTGAAATTACTGCAGAGATCCCTGACGTTTAATGGCTATCCAAGATCAGTACATTAAATTTCAACTTTAACAAGCTGTACGGAATCTCGTAGAAAGAATTTATTACTGGAATTGTTGAATGGCTTTATTGCCAGCATGACTGACTGATTTATAGATTCTTTCAGCACTGTGCTTGCAAAAGCAGAAGAATAGTCAAGAAAGCAGCTGTTCATGCTCTTGTTAATAAAGACGTTCATGACCCAGCTGAGGTCAGAGCCCTGTTCTGCTGAGTACTCTGTAAAACTCATGATATGGGATTATTCTTGCTTTTTCTGCTATTGGAACTGACCACAAAGACAATGGACAGAGAAAAAAATATCACATTTTGCAGATGGGGAGTTGAACCACAGAGAAATTTTAAGGTTGTGGATGCTTTAAGCTACCATAGCTTGGTCCAGCTGCCAAGCAAAGCAATCCTATTGTTCCTTCAGCTGCTCATTTCCTTACCCACACTGTCACATCCCTCGTGCTGGCACAGATGTATGTGTGGTTTTACGGTGCACTCTGTTGTTGGGGAACTGATGCAACTGAAAAACAAAACCTCTCCTTCTGGGTTGTTTTTTAGCCGGATCAGTTTCCCCTTCTTATTTCACCTCATAGCCGTAGAAGAGCTTCTGCTAGCACAAAGAAGAAGCTAGAGTCTGGAGATGAAGCCCGTGAGCCTGGAAGAAGGCAGAGCTGCTTTTCTCAGAATCCATGCTGCTTTATGTGAGCTCCAAAGTGTCTGATAAACCAGCTGAAGCATTAGCTCATCAGAGACAATGTTGCTGCTGCAAGAGGGATCCTCCAACTTCACTCCTCAGCGTTAGCCTTTTGTCTGTAACATGGCTAGCTCTCCTTCCTCTTCCTCTGTAGAAAGTGAATTCTTTTCTGCCAGCTGTGTTAGTGAGCTTGTTTGTGGAGGAGTCAGACGAATACGAGAGCTGGTGCAAGGGAGAGGACAGGCATGTGTGACTGGGAGCAGGAGAAGCAGGACCACTCTTCTGCGACGCAATCACCATTCAGTTGGCTCACTGGCCTCCTGGAATTTCTCTGAGTATCTTGGGCTTGGTCACACTGGAAGCCTCTGATAGAGCTGTGGATTTCTTGACATCCTGAATTGCAGCTTAATATCTTAAACATTTATTGCCTTAAAATGTTTGCCACAAGGTAAAAGCCCTAGCGCGCATCATAAAGAGCAATTAATGTGGCTTAATTATTTGCCTGTTAAATTTGTGTAATAGGAGGTAAATGCTTCATATTACATCTTGCTGCTTACAGTTGGAATTGTCAGGAAGCTGAAACAAGCCTTAATGCTTCTTGTGACAAAAAATCCACTTTAAATTACTTGTTCCTTTTAACAAAATAAAACACAAAAATTTTATGTGCCTGGTGTGTCTGCCTCAAACGCAGTCTTTTGGAGCAGCTTGTAGCAGAAATAGTTCAATGGAAAGTGATATTTTTAACTAAAAGAGAGAGGGGAAAGTGAAGAAAAACAACTGAACTCCATGAACAGTTGGGAAGCTCTAGCATCATCTCTGGAACAGGTTCTTGACATCTGGCAGGGATGTGCCTCCTCCCACCCTTGCTTAAATGGCTCTCTTGCTGTTTCTGTGTAAATCCAGCTACATTTGGTTGGATTATCAGATGAAAAAACAGCTATGTGTGTAAGCTGAGAAGAGGTTGCCTACAGCACAACTCTCCAAAAATGTCTTTGCCTCTGAAAACGCTGCAAATCATCAAAAGGCTCCACCCTTGTAAAACAGGATACTTTGCTGTTACAACTCCCCACAGCTAAAGATTGTCCGTGGAATTGGACACCAGAATTGGGAGCAGGGAGGAGGCACTCGAAAAAGACAGAATAGTGGTGTTACTGACTGTGTTGCAATGCAGATGGATAAGGGAGGTGAGTTAAGGCTGCGCAGCAGAACTTAAAGTGGGCTTCTCCTAAATTCTGAATTTGTAAATGAATTTATCTTCCTGTAAGACAATGTCTTGAAAAGTTGTATTGTATTACACAACAGCAACTTTTGGTTTTACAAACCCCTTTCTTCCATTGCTCTTTCCTGGTTATATGAAAATAAAGTTGTGTCCCTCCACTCAGTCTCGTGGTGATAGAAGACTGAATCTTTTGTTCCAAAATGTGTTTCTTGTCACATTACTACATTTGTAGTGCAGTCAGCAGAATTTCAGCCTTAGCAAAATTATTCTTCTTTTTTTTATGAGTTTTCTCCTTTTCTGTCTATAGCTTCTTGAACTCAGGTCCACAATGGTCTCTAAAGAAGCCTCTTTTCAAGAGCTGAAGGCTGAAGCTGAAAGCTACAAGGAAAATAATGCTAGACAGATGTCTCGCCTCCAGTCTTTGCAAACCCGAATTCAGGAGATGGAGGAGGAGGCATGTGTGCTCACCACTTCTAAAAACCAGGCTGAGCTGACAGCTCAGGCAGCATTCAAGGAAAACTGGGAGCTGAAGGAGGAGCTTCATGAGCAAAATGACAAACTTAAGTAAGATTCACGTGAGATGAGAAGCAATTTTTGTCTGGAATGCCAGAATGGTGCAGTTGTCAATGCAGAAAATCACGTTGGTGCGCAGACTTTATTGCAGATCTGAATTCTGTTACAATGCCTTGCACAGCTGTTGTACCCGAGTGTGTGGAAGGTGTTGAAATTTGAATTTTAGTTTGAGTTGTTAGCCCATAAACAGGGTTTTGATAGTTTTGTCCTTCGGAGGAGAACTAAGTGATATGAGTCAGGTTGGTGTAACCTCATTGTTTACAAAGAATGAGCATGGAGGGCTGCTTGTCTGAAGGCACTAGAAATGAAAGGCATGGTTTCCTCATTCAGGTGTTTCTGTGTATGGCAATGAGGCAAGCTTTGTGTGTTTCATGGCACACATGTGATGAGCAGGACCTGCAACTACAGTCTAGTGCCCTGATCGGTCCTTGTCACGTGGCATCTTTTGCAGACATTTACCTGGCAGCTGACATGCTGCGCGGGCCGTGCGCTGGCGGGTGGCTGTGCTGCTGCACCACTCCGGGCTCTTTTCCCCTCTTCTGTGTCACAGCTGAAACCAGAACAGTGCCAAGCGAATTTCTTCTTTAGTGTAAAGCTGTCCATTAGGAGCAGTGTAATAAAGCAAATACGCTATAATTCCTAGTTAGTAGCATCCTGAAGGGAGCATGTTAATGTTTGTTCAGCTTTCAGTAATGTTAGCTTTGTCTGAATTTTCTTGTGCTTTCTTTTGGATACTGCTGCATGTGGTTTGTTTTTGTTTTTAAACAGGCATATTGATTGCATAAGACTTTTATTAAAAGATAGTATCCTTACACTATGCCAAGAACAGTATAGTTATCAGAACACTGATCTGTCATTTCTGCATAACTGCTGCTATTTCAGGTCTATGGGATGGACACTGATAGCAGTGTTGGTCACAGATCAAATTGACTGGTGTGAAAATATTCTGAACTCTAAAATTCCAAAATCAGTGTCAGTCATATTATATTAATAGACACCTTGTAGACTTTTACAATGTTGTTGTTTTCATCACCGTTACAAGGCTCATATTCATATCTCTCTCAATATTATCTAGTTAAGAGAAAGATGAGCGTTTACCAGATGTCTGTGTTTCCCAAATGAGTATTTCACACAGCTCTTCCAGGCTTTGTGTGTTAGAAGCAGGTAATTAAATTATTTTAAAATCTAGGGAAAGTGCACTTGTCTCTTACCAGCTGATCTGCCAAAAGCTCTGCATGGGGAGTGCTGATGTTGATCACCAAAGATTTTAGATGTGATCCCAATGTAAGTGAGGAGATAGTTAAGCCGGGAAGTGTGTTATGCAGCCTAGCAACGTGGAAAACATCAGTGTCTGAGATAATGGTTGTTAAGATTCTTTAAAATGCTACTTCAGGGTGGGGATGTGAGGTGGGGGTTGGAGAAGAAAAAAATGAAGAACAGCCTCCTGTCATTGGGAGGTGACTGACTGACTCACTGGGAGAAAACTGCCAAAATAGTGTGTATCATACTAGCCTATAGTTACAGTGACATGATCAATTTTATGTGGCATAAATCTGTGCTGTCACTCCCAGTGCAGTCCTGGCTGCTCTGTTTTGCCCATTGAATTTTTGTCAGCACTTCCATTTGTGTTGCTGCATGGTGGGCAGGACCAGGGAACTGCCACAAGAGAGAAGTTAGCAAAATAAAAAGCCCAATGTTCAGCTCTACCAATCCGAGATTTGCTTCGCAGTGCACCTGGAGTGTGCCACTTAGAGTGCTGGCAAAGGGGAAGGGACAAAGGGAGGGAGAGTCTGCTCCTCTGGAGGGAACAAACACGTTAGATTGGTCATCAATCTGTAGTGTGTTTTCAAAGGTTTTTCTCGTCCTCAGCTGATGGTTACACGTGCCACAATACTAGTCAATGTATTGACTTGATGAACTTCAGTCGCTTAGTCTGGCCACCTTAGTAGCCCGTGGCACATGACTAGTCCTAGTTAGGTGTTCAGGAAAGATTTTCGCTGAAAACAACTAATGAAAGGGAAAAGCAAGCCAGTAGACATGAAATGCACATTCACATTCTATACCTAGGGATATAGTAAAAAATGTTTAATGAATTCTGTGATTGGTTTTCAAGATGTGCATCTCTCCTCTTGAAAATGGTGCTTTTCTACTCAACAGGTCTATTGCCAATTGCCAAGGTATTTTTAGAGCCTGAACTGTGAAAAGCTTTTTTTTTTCTTCCATCCCCTTCTCTTATCTCATTAGTTTTGAAGAGCTAGCAAAACTGTGAAAGAGCTGTATTCTACTTTTTTGTACCTGAATGCCTATTTTCTAGGTGCTCACACCTTTATGGCCTACTGGAGGTAATTAGGTTATTTGCAGAGTTGTCAAGTATGTGCTTTGTACTTCAGATTGTGTATTTTTAGAAGCAGGCATGGTTCTGTGTGTGATGTGCCTTGATTTTTTCAGAGCCACAGAGCAGTTTGTGGGGTTGGTGGTCAACCTCATACAATATTGAACATACAGACATGCATGTATGCCATGTCTGGAGCCTCATACCATTTCACTTCTGACATACCCCTCCTCAGGAGAGCAATTTAGCGACCACCTCACAGCTTAGTTTTGCTGGGGCTATAGAAGAGCGGGAGGTGCCTAGAGGTGAGGAAGCTGTGAGGCGCTTGTTTTCTGAGAGCCAGCACCTGCTGCAGAAAGCAGAACTCTGTTGGCTCCCAGTGCGTGCTGTGCTGTAGAACGTGGAACTATCCTCATTCTGTCCAGAGCAGTAATTAATGTTTTCCATTCCTCTCTGTTATTCTTCCACTCTCTTCCACTTTGCAGCATTGACAGCAACTGTGCTGGTCTCCCTCCCTCCCTCTTACATTTTTTCATGGATCATCTCTTTTGCTTAGTGATTTATAACCATTTAATGTACTGTGTTTACACTCACTGTGTGTTTCCTATAGGAGTCTCATGCTGCGTTATGATTATGGAGTGATGCTCTGTTGCCTGTTTGATTGCTATCCTAGAGAGGAAAAAATCAGAAGTGGAGAAGAATGAGTCCAGAAACAACAGCATGCCAACCTTGAAAACAGAGTAGTTCTATGCTCTGATAAACAAATCAGTTTCAATAAAATATTTTCTCTAGACAGCTGTTTGGTGATATCTCACATCTTGTTTTATTCTAGTGTTCAAATCTTTGTGAAGTACTTGCTTTAGAAAGTACTTGTTTCTCAACTGAGAGATCAATAGTTTTGTCTCTTGCACTCTACTGTGGAGTACCTGTCTTGTGTTATCTGGGAGGTAGTGGAGTTGATATCTGGATTACACTAAGGGTCATTCTGAGCTTTGTTTGTCTGATTATTTTTGTTAATCTCTTTTTGTAGTTTTCCAGAAGTAATGCTCAGCATTGCAGCATCATGAGTAAGATTTGAGCGTATACATTTTATACCTATGCAGACTGCAGCAACGCTTGTATTCTGGGCTCATCTTTGTCCCTGGCAACGAGACAGATGCAACCACATTTATGCCAATGAGTTAAACTGACCGCTCTGTTATTTGTTGGTTGTTCTCACAGAGCATTTACAAACTGAAGCCTGCTGTAAGGCTGATAACAGATGTTTCACGTGGGATATGTATCTGCATGATAGGCACCTTTTGAGAGTGATGAAAATGATGACAAAAAGCTACCTTTTCTTCATCCTTTTGTGGTAGTTCCTTGATATTTTCTATTTTAATCAATTCATTTCATGGGTAGTGTTACACCTCAGAAGACTGAATGTGCAGCAAAGTAGCATCTGTCATCTCTGTTTGCTTCTGCTGGTGAACTTTCCTTAGCAGGTACTCTGGGTGTCCATAAGTACTTTCAAATTAATTAGAGAGGACATGTGAAGTGCTTTTAGTGTATTTTTACTATAATTTTGTCACTCTCTACCCCCTTTTTCTAAGCTTTTGCTTGCAGCCTCTATTTCTAGTATATTAGGGGCACTGTTTATTGAGGTCACCTGGTTCTTGCATTTTATTGAAATCTTGTGCTGAGAATGATGTTGGGATCATAGAAGGTTCTTTGAATTGCTGGTCAAAGGCAAAGATGAATAAATGTTTACACATAAGGCAACAACAAAAGTTACATTTATTAAATAACAGATACAGAAAATTATATACAACTTTAAAAACTCATTTTGTGGTATGCAGAAGCTAGCAATAATCTTCGGATGATGTCTTTTGCCTAGAATTCTGTTTCAGAGAGCATTTATCCTAACATGTATTTGTTTTCTGTCTGATTAGTAAATATTTGAATGAGTGTGAAGAAAGCATGACTCAAGCTTCTAAAATCAGCAGAAAGTATGAAGACCTCCTTACACAGCTTTCTGGATTCTTGGACACAGACATCAGAGAAAAAGAGAAACCACAGGAACATCTAATGTCAAAGGTGATTATGTGTAGGAAAGAGTTTCTGTGTAGCATTTTAATAGAAGAATATTTGGTTGTCAAAGAAATAAAGCAAGTGATGAAGACAGCAATCTTTGTATTAAATAATGATTTGCAGAAAGTGCTATTGTTTAAGGTGTTTGTGGGTTTTTTTTTGTACTGGGCTGATTTTCGAAGGTCCTGAACACAAGTAGACCTCAGTGAACTCAGTCTGCTCTTACCTGCATAAGTATTTTATCAGCCTGTAGATCCTGAGTACAGCCTTGATTAAATGCTTGGTTGAAAGCTTTCCTGAAAACATTAACACTGGGTGTCACTAGGTGACATGTAAACTGTACCACTAGATCTTAACACTTATCTCGAGCTGACATATGATTAAATAGAAACATCTGAAAAGGCATAGCCTAAAACAACCTTAACTATGCCCTGTAACAAAATACTGTAAATAAATGTGTGAGGGTTTTGAGAATCATAAAACTTATTATTTCTCTTCAGAATACTTCTGCGGTTCCAAAAACTAAGCTTCCATTTACGAAAGGAAAATTGTTTGTATACTCTTTTAACCATTATTGATGCTGCTGTACGGAAATTTGTCCTAATTTTATGCATTTTTCTCATGTTCTGTCTAGTCTTTGCTATCCCTATTTTTTTCTCTTGGGGAGCATGCTAGGCATTTTGAGAAATTCTGTTTCATTAGATTAATATTATAAGAGTTCTGTGTATAAAGAATAGTTAATAAATTAAGATTATCTAGGTATATATCACAGTGATTTCTTGAAGTACTTACCCTCATAATATTGCAAGCACATTGAAACTGTAATAGATACTCTAACAAAACTCGGCTAGTTGTCATTAGACGCAAAGATGTTTGTATTCAGTAACTGTTATGTGCTTGAAGTTAGGGAAATAACTGCAGTTTAAAAAAAAGTGTATGTTGATGTCTTTTTTAGCAATGTAGTAATAAATCTAGTTAGGTAATCTAATTTGTGCTAAAAGCTGTGTGCATTAGGAAAACTTAGCAACTCATTTTTCTGTTTGGGGTCGTGGCACATCTGTTTACCTTCTTTTCCACATTATGGTTTTATTGAAGACAGAATTGATCTGGTTTAGTGTTAACAAATGTCTTGCCGCTAGAAGTCAGGGTAGGTTTTTTACCTTATACACTCTGAAGCACCCACATTTGTCTATTACACGTCTTGGAAATAGCATAATGTACCAAAACAGCCCTAGAATCCTCCTGGAAACGACTCCTTTTTCCAAGGTGTCGGCCCACCAGGCATTTAGCCCTGCCCTGGAATATGCTTATGAAATAGCTGTTACTAACTCAAAGCTCCCCAAGCCTGAAAGGTTTAAATCATAAAGTGCAGCTTTCATTTTCTCATTCCAAATGAGAGGCATAAATCTTAACAAGCCAGACAGAAATGGTCTGCTTTTCACATGAAGTTCACTACGAGATCTGTTTTGATTTCCTGACCTGCTTCATGTCAAGCAGAGATATTCAGCGACAGTAGCTCTTCACCTGTTTAACACATCATAGAGATTGTGTGGAAGTAAATCTGAGCCACACTACAGTAAGGTGTGGGTTTCTGGTGGGAATATGGTTCTCAAGTGTCTTTCTACTCTTTTTAGAAAGGAACGGTAGAGTGCAATTATAAATCTGACCTAGGGGTCAATGGACACAGCATGTCTTTATTGTGATGATTAGAAGCAGGTGTACTGGGATGAATATATGTCATTGTTAAGTGCTTTAAAAAAGCTACTAATATTTGAATTATTTCTCTAGGTCTTTGAAATGTGTAAAGAAAATCTGACACTAAAAGACCAGGTTGCTGCTCTTCAAGAAGCTATCAATGTCCATGAGATAGAGTCCAAAGCTAGTAGAGAAACTATCATGAGGCTTGTTTCAGAAGTGACCACAGAGCAGAAAAAGGCAGCAGGATACTGTCAAGACATGGAAAAACTTAGTAAGGTACATAATTGCATAATGTGTATGTTTGTCTAGTTTTTAAACGTTTTCTCAAAATTTCAAATTAATTTTCAGTAGGACTTTTATGAGGAAAAAATGCTTCTGAAAGACTTCCAGTGATTGGGGTCTTTCCTAAAGAGGATGTTTATCTAAGGTTATTCTCAACTTTTTGAAAGCTTCAGAATATATGAAGATTAAACAATAGCATTGTGTAAAATATATCTGATTTAGATTTGATGTCTTCCGGTGATGCTTGCCAATTTATATTTTTGCTTCCTTCGTATTGTTGTAGCCTTTGCTATGCTTGCACAAGCATGTAAACAAACAGATGTTTATAGAGCTAATGAGTATAACTGAGGCACAAGCATGGAACAATGAAAAAATGCTCTTTTAAATAATATTTATGGGATATTGGAAGTTTTCTGAGGATTCTTCTACTCAGCTTCTTTAAAAATTCTAATGAGAAATTGAAAGGAATTGATAGGACAATACTTTATTCTTTCTCTTAAGGAACTGAAAGTAAAGTGTCTTGGCTTCTAGACACCCTAGATTATCTTGTTTCACTGCATTATAAACTTATGTTTCATAACTGTAAATACTCAGCTGGCTCATACCCAGGATGTTGTAGATGGTAGGGTGGCTCTTGCAGGAAAGCACTGTTTTGCTTTGGGGAACCCACAGAGGAAAGATGTGCGACAGGAATGATGCTGAAATGAGAAGTGTCAGTTAAGTTGTAAGTAAGTCAAGTATTTGCCAAATTCACCTAGGCATGATTTGGAAAGGAAAAGAACATGATTTAAAGATTTAATTGCTCCAGGAGAACTCACCATTAAGAGTGTTTGTACATTGCAAAGGATGGATGAACAAAGTGAGGTTCTGTAGCAGCTTTCCTTATTAGTTTGTACTTTGAGTGATAACTGTGGAAAGGGAGCAGTTTACTAAAACCATAATGAAGATTTCCTGCAGGTGCTAGACCAGTGTGGTTAAAGCTGATGGCCAGAACTTAAAAAAATAAGAGTAGAAACTTAGACTGCCAAGTATGTAGCTGAGTTGTGTGTGTTTGAGTTTGTAGAAATTTTTAACCTAAAGGCAACCTTGTGCAAGTAAGTTTTCAAACGTAACGTTACATTTTCCCCATCTCCCTGGCATTACTTTTTTCCTGAACAGAAGACCATCATTATACACTTTAAAGGATATAGTGTTCTTATTTGGTTGTAGACAAAATACTTAAGAGATGAGAAATAGCTGACAGTGTGCTCTGGAGAAGAAAGAATTTGTTGTGGGGAAGATAAACGTTAAGTACCACAAGGGTCATAAATTTTACTTACTGCTGAAGATACTACTTACCAAGCTGTATAAAATTTTCTAAGACTTTAAAGGGACTGAAAGAGAACCTGCACCAAAAACTGGAACAGGTCCTTTTTGAGATCATTTTGTTCTTGTACATCGCTTCAAACGCAGGTGTGTGAGTAAGAGCAGAGTGTAGTTTGCTCACGAAGTAAGCCAGAATGAGGAGATTTTTTAAACCAAGATGAGAACTTCATTTGTGACTTGTTTTGCAAGTTTTCTCTGACTGCAAAAACATTTCCAGAGTTTAGCTAGTTGTATGAAAAATATTTTCCTATCATTATAGTGTGCATGCCAAATAAATAATTTATTTAACCAATTCTACAGAAATGTCTTGCTAAATTATTAGCATTGCCTTTCAAATGAAGTGTGTTGTGCCATCAGGTCTTATCTGGAGGCTGCAGATTCCTCCAGTGCTTTTTCAGTTTAGCCACTTAAATATGCAGATACTGAGTATATCCGTTGAGAACGTTTTTTTCTTCACAAGAGCTTAATAAGAAATTCAGTAGTGAAAAAATAACTAAAAAACCAAAAATGCTTTAAATCCACATATCTGAAGAGTGATGTATGGCATCCTCTGTTCCCCTGATGAGCGTCATACTAGGTTACAGGACAAGCATCAGTGGTATAAAGTCAGTTTGACTTTGTGATATACTTTGCACAGTTTAAGCACACGACCAGAGCTGCACATGTTCCCCCGTGAAGGTAAAAAGGAGACATCCATACTGTTACTGGGCCAGAAATCACACAAACATGCTGGTGTGTTTCAGGACTGTTTTCTGAGCAGTAATTAATGGAATTGCCTGTAGCAGAGTTTACCCAGCACAGATTGAGTACAAGTGACTCTTGCCTGTGCTTTCCTGAAGCTCCCGGGGCCAGACATATTGGCTGTCTTCAGTATTACAGATTGAGATAGTGGTGTGTTTCCCCCAGTTTTCTCTCAAAATTCTTTCTAAGTGTATAGAGGCCATCACGCTGTTCTGTCAGTCTTCTCCAGCAAGCCTCAGCCACCGCACTGTTCCCTGCCACCTCTCTGAATCATTGCTGGTTTTTCTCATCAGGTAGTGCTTCACTCCTGCTCCTTGGGGTTTCTGTGTACTTCCTGCCTTGACCTTGGCCATGTCTTTCTGTATATCCCAGGAGGAAGCAGCTATCTAATGATCAATTAAACAAATAGTAGATTCCAAAATTATTGATGAAGAAAATGAAAGCCAGCTGGTTACATTTTAAAGTTAATGTGTGAAAGTAATTCAGAATGTTCTTTAGTATATTTGATAAGTTTTTGTTGCAGTTAGTTAGCTGGTTTTTATTTGAGGAGCGTTAGCAAGTGAAGAGTAATTTTATCTGTTCCCCTCTCAGCTTCACAGCATCACAATAGCAAACAGCAAACCATAGAAACTAATACAGTCTTGAAACTAATATAAGTAACAAAAGCAAGCCACCAAGATGTTATTGTTGTAATATATTACTTCTTGCATTTCTGACCTAATACTGCAAAAGCTTGCTTCTGGAACTCTGTAAATACTGTGCATACCTTTATTCTGGCAATGCTGGATATCAAATTTGCATTTGATGCAAAATTACTTTTAACTGCTGATCAGATTTCAAGACAGAGAATCAGAATACCAGTTCTTTCTTTTATGTTCAGACAGTGATTATTGATCACTATAATAAAAATTACAGAATTATAACATTCCTTGAGAATGCCTGTAGGTCGTTAAAAAATGTCTTATTTGCTCTAACCAAATTTCTTTCTAGTACTTAATAAATTCCTATATACTATTTATTTAAGGTATAGCAGAAGATGCATATATTTTTCTTCCAGATGAATTTGCCTTTTGTACAGCATTGCCGTTGATGCACCACAAGAACTAGTAAACTGACTTACTCTGTTTCATGTCTTTGCTGATGATTCAGCCTGGAAATATTTGTGATTCCCCCTGAAGCGTTAATTTAAACATCTGTTTTGCAAAGATGTGCACCATACAATGTGTTTAAAGAACCTATCTGAAATATAATCAAGCAATTTTAATTAATAAAAATATATCTGCAGGTACTACTCACACAAAATTAACCAAGAAAATACTCTTCAGTATTTAATACTGACTTGTATTAAATTATGTTATTAATGAATAGAATTTATCTAAGTAGCATCTCATCAGTATACATTTATTAAATAAATTGATTGTATGAAATCATAGTTAATTAAAATACAAACTTATTATTTAAGGAAGTAGATTAAACTTGAGAAACATGCCTGCATTTTGAATATACCTAAATACTTTGATTATAGGAGTCACAACCAAATGATTTTAGATTTTTCTTGTCCCAATAGATAAACAATAAATTTCTCAGTTAGAACCTGGATATTTTTTTGTTCTTTATAAGATGTTGTTAAGAAAATACATATTAGAGACAGGTTTCAGCAGGCATGAGAATTATTTCCAGGTTGAATCAGCAGAGAAGTTGGGAGATAAGAGCAAGGTAGTTTACAGTCCTTGCGGTAGAACTGTGGTAACTGGACATGCGGCTGGTGTAAGAATATAAGAATTCATCTGGAAGATACGTGAATTCTGTTTTATACCTTATTATTACTGTTAAAGTAATGAGGAGTTTTTTTGTATATGTATGTGTAATTGACTTAGTATATTGAGACCTTGATGCTGACTGAGATGCCAGTATTAACAGAATAATAGACTCATTTAGATTGGAAAAGACCTTCAAGGTCAAGTCCAACCACAAACCTAACACTGCTAAGTCCACCACTAAACCATGTCCCTCAGCGCCACATCTACACGCGTTTTAAATATCTCCAGTGATGGTGACTCAACCACTTCTCTGGGCAGCCTGTTCCAGTGCTTGACAACCCTTTCAGTAAAGAAATTTTTCCTAATATCCAGTCTAAACCTCCCCTGGTGCAACTTGAGGCTGTTTTCTCTTGTCCTATCACTTGTTACTTGGGAGAAGAGACTGACACCCACCTCACTACAACCTCCTTCCAGGTAGCTGTAGAGAGCAATAAGGTCTCCCCTCAGCCTCCTCTTCTCCAGACTAAACAGCCCCAGTTCCTTCAGCTCCTTCAGCTGCTCCTCGTAAGACTTGTGCTCTAGGCCCTTCACCAGCCTTGTTGCCCTTCTTCTCTGGACACGCTCCAGCAACTCAGTGTCCTGGTAGTGAAGGGCCCAAAACTGAACACAGTACTCAAGGTGCGGCCTCACTAGTGCCGAGCACAGGGGCACAATCACCTCCCTATGCCGGCTGGCCACACCATTCCTGAAACAACCGGGGCCTCTTCCCCAGCCCCCCCCCCCCAAGCCTGTAGCGTTGCATGGGGTTGTTGTGACCCAAGTGTGGGACCCAGCACCTTGCCTTGTTAAATCTCACAGATGGTCTTGGTCCATTCATGCAGTCTGTCCAGACCCCTCTGCAGAGCCTTGCTACCCTCAATCAGATCGAGACTCCTGCCAGACTTGGTGTCATCTGCAAGCTTACTGAGGGTGCACTCGATCCCTTTGTCCAGATCTTTGATAAAGATGTTAAACAGAAAAGGCCCCAATATTAATCCCTGGGAAACATAACTTGTGACCAGCCACCAGCTGGATTTAACTTTGTTCACCACAATCTTTGGGCTCAACCATCAGCCTGTGTTTTACTCAGTGAAGAGTACACCCATCCAAGCCATGAGCAGCCAGTTTCTCTGGGAGAATGCTGTGGGAAACGGTGTCAAAGGTGTTGCTAAAGTCTAGGTAGACAACATCCATTAAGTAGGTTACCTTGTCATAGAAGGAGGTCAGGTTAGTCAAGCAGGACCTGCCTTTCATAAACCCATGCTGACTGGGCCTAATGACCTGGTTGTCCTGTACGTGCCGCATGATGGCATTCAAGACGATCTGCTCCATAACCTTCGTCGGCAACTGAGGCCAGACTGACAGGCCTGTAGTTTCCTGGATCTTCCTTCCAGCCATTCTTGTTGATGGGCATAACATATGCTAACCTCCAGTCCACAGGGACCTCCCCGGTTAGCCAGGACTGCTGATAAATGATGGAGGGTGGCTTGGTGAGCACTTCTGCCAGCTCCCTCAGTACTCTTGGGTGGATCCCATCTGGCTCTGTAGGCTTGTGTGTGCCTGAGTGGTGTAGCAGGTCATTAACCATTTGCTCTTGGATTATGGGGACTTCATTCTGCTTCTTGCCCCTCTCTTCCAGCTCAAGGGGCTGGGTACCCAGAGGACAACTGGTCTTACTATTAAAGACTGAGGCAAAGAGGGCATTAAGTACCTCATCCTTTTCCTCATCCTTTGTCACTATGTTTCCCCTTGTATCCAATAAAGGATTATGATATAAGTTCAAATACCCTTCTCTGGTGTAAAAACCCTCTCAAATTATTTGACCTAAATACCCTGCTCTTCAAAACAGATGAAAGCCCAAAAGCCCAGAGTTTCCTCTGGAATGATAAGAGGGGCAGCAGTTAACACATGGCTGCTCCAAGAAATAAAAGGGAGGAGATGGACCTGTGGTTGTGACAGGCGTTGTAGATGCTAGTGAAGGACAGCAATTATGTAGGAATCTGCTACATCAGGCTGTTATCTAAGTTGCGTGAGTGGCCAGTACCTGGTGTGTGGGCGAGCACGCAGAAGTACTTTTGGCCATACATCCTCTCAGCTTCTATCAACCTTGGACTTACTGATTCAAAGTCTGCATCTCCATGTTAACAGCTGATGCCTCTACTATATGATACTGTATGAATGTTTCACATAACATCTCATGAAAGCTCTTTAGAAAATGGCCCTGTCATTATTAGTGCATTTTGACCAAAAATAGTCAGTAGTTCCTCCAGTTCTGTACATAGGAGAGCTATATTGCCAATGTCCAGGTGAGCCTCTGGACCCTCTCTGTGTATCTGTCACTGTTAAATGTCTGAACTCTCCGGGCAGAGCCTCAGCTGTCTCATGAGCTTTCAAGCCTGTATCCATCTTGTTACAGTGTTGTATTTCTCTTTGTCTCATTGGAAGTGAAAAACCTGCACTTCATTTCTCTGCTAAGGTTTTTTCAAAATTGAAATAGATTAATAATTAGTCATACTATGTAGTCTGACACTTAAAACTGCCTCAGAAATAGTGACTAATTTGACTAGTGTCCACAGACCAACACACCTTATATGTGTATAGGACATGCTAGTTGAACTTGAGAAATATGAAAGAATACAGTGTATTAAGGAAGGGTTATTATAGCTTAAAAAAATGCATTGTAGATATTGAGATCAACAGTGTGAGGATATGTATTAATATATATTATTACATAGGAGATCTTATCCCTTGTTTTCTCTCTTTGATTTGTCTGCCTCTTTAAAGTGATCATATCTCTCTTATTTTGTTTTGCAGTGTTGAATACAGCTCTTTTAGTCCTTCCTTATAAAATAGTCCCTCTCTTTGCTTTAAAGACAGAAGTAATTTGCCCCACCTGTTACATCTTGAACACGTTTTCTGTGAATGCAGCTGTCTCAGTATTGAACACATGATTTCTCACAGGGGAGGCCTTGCCAGCGTCCTGCGCAATGGTCTGGGTACTCTTACGTCTTCTCTAGTCTAGTGCAGATAGGGTGCCAGTGGTTGAGTGTGGGTAGACTGTGTCCCAGCCTTAGTGGGTAACTTCAGGTACAGCACTATGTCATATGAGCCCTTTCGCTGTGGTCTCGCATAGTTGAAGACCTTTGGTGCTGCTTTCTATGTCCGCAGGTGAGCACAACCATGGTAGATCTGCTGCATCTCTGGTATCTAACAACTAGTCATTGACACGGTCTGCCCTGGGTAAATCCACCTAATGTCTAATTCTGTTTTCTTTGAACATCAATTTCCATAATTATTCCTGTTTTCAAAGTTTGTTGTGCGTCAGAGTTGAGTAGCTTTTTTGACCATACAAGCTGCCTATCGAAACCTTCATACAGTTCAGAGCCATAGAACATTAGCCATAAGTGTTGAGGAGCCAAAGAGAAAACATCGGCTGTTGCAGTTCCATCCTTTCAGAGTTCTGTGGTGGAAATTATTTTATCTGCCTGCACTGATCACTTGAGCTCTCAGGGGTTTGCTTCTAGTTGGGATACCACCTTTATGTGTCACAGTCCCTAAATTTCCAGATACTGTTCAACGCTCAGGCTGACCTTGCTGAAGCTAGCCGGTGTAAATGCTCTCCATTCAAGAGAGGTTTCAAGGAGGGCTGTTCAGAATTTTGATGTTTTGAGTTTTACAGCTTTTTATTCTGTAAATTACTTGGGTTGTTGTTTTTTTTTTTTTTTTTAGCATTTGGGCATCAATGGGCTTGCATTTCCTTATTTTATACCTTGATCTTTTCATTCAACTGTCTTTGTTTGCAGATGTTCAGAATTTGAAACAAGATTATAATTGGGTAAGCTCCGTGGTACTTGCAAACTACTTTCGCACCGCCTTTCTGAAAGGAAAAATACACACTGCTGAAAACTATAATTGAAATAAACCACTCTTATTCTTTGCTGTAATTACCATAATATAATTCTGAGCACAGGTGGGAACTTTCTATTAATAGGAGTTGTTTAGAATAAAAAAGAGAAAATGGCAAGGAATCATGCCAACATTTGTTTCCAAGAGAGTTCTACAATTACTTTAGAAAGGGGTAGTAACAAATAATTTCCTAAATGACAGGGTTTGTTTTGGTTTTTTTTCATTTATGTGTTTGCATGTTTGCCTTTTTGAAGCTATTTAAAAAATTTAGTATTTTTAGTATCGTATGTTTATATTTAATCTCCAAGGGTGCCTCCTTTTTTGTCCATCCTCACTGCTGATCTACGTAAATGGTCCCAGATTTACTACTTGATTGGCATGTATTCCATTAGTAAAAATGACTTACTATGCCACGTAGCAAGCACATGTAGACCCTGAAAGACCTTCCAGTGATCACCATATTCACAGACGCTCCAGGAACAGTTCTTTAACTCCAACATACACAATCTTATTTCAATTCAATCCGCTTACTGAGCCTCTGCTAAACAACTGAAACTTCCGGAGAAATTCAATCACTGTCTGTAAATATGCCATCCTCTGGCATAATTTTGTGTCTTGTGTGAATCTATATCTTTTCCCATTTGTTCCTATCAATCAGATAATACTCTGAACTTAGTCTTTGCTGTACTTTTAGTTTCACTGCAAATTTTGTTCTTATATATGAATGTGTTAGCACTCTTAATATTGGTATTGTGGGGAAAGGCAAGAGGTTCACAGGCTGACTGAGAGATATGATTTTTTTCTTTATGTTTAGATGGGTTATTTTTCTTTCATTTTTGTACTGTGATTTGGTTTGGCATTGTGTCTGCTCTGCCCTGTTGGGCCAATGTTTTATGTACAATTGATGGAGATATGTATGTACTGGCTTTTTTTTTTTCTGCTTTCCAAACTGAGTCTTGATTCATCAGAAGGTAAAGGGAAAATAACTTTTAAAGGTCTGGGCTTAGCAAGAAAGGATCATGGGTGTCGGGGACTGAATGAGAACCATGACAAAATGCCAAAGATCTGAGGATGTCCCTGAGCAGTAAATCCTGTGGGCTATTCACCAGGTAGCCTTATCTCACAGTACCCTGTCTCCCTACCAAAGGTGACATTGTCTTTGAGTGTAGTACTTCTGAAATGCAAGGGACTGACTTCTTTAAATAAGAAAAAAAAAAAAAAGTTACAAGAATACTAGATAGGAGTGCCATCCCATTAGTCCTTCCTCAGTCATACTTCTGCACACCAACAGCCCAGCTGAGCAGCAGATGGGGGCAGTTGTAGGCTCAGTTGAAGGACACATAGTTCTTCATTTATTTTCTTCTGTTCCTCAGGCAAGTTTGACCTTACGGTAATAGGGATTTTGTTTTCTTCAGAAGATGACATAATTCAGAATAATTCCCTTTTTGAAAATTTTTCTGCTTCTGAGACTTTCACAATCTAAGGATTTCTTCTTTGAGGTGAAATTAGTCTTTGAGCATTTGCACCTTCTTTTATGCTGTCTTTTTTTATTTGGCCCCTCACTCCCCATTCTTGTGTATAAATAATCTTAGGAATTTTTGTCGTGTTCAGGTAAGCTGATCTCAGAGATCACCTCTAATTCTGCTCTATGTTTGAAGAGTTTGTTTGTATTCTTTTGGTCAGCTCTGAATTGGTCAGGCAGTTGGACTAGATGATCATTGTAGGTACCTTCCAACTGAAATATTCTACTCTATTCTAATGCTTTCCCCTCTGAGGTGTAGTACTTTGGCTTGATTTGTGTTACATCTTGTTCACCATTTGTTTTCTAAATCATATTATCTAAATGAAAGTAAAAGATAGCAATAGTTTTACAATAGATTTTTTTTTTGTTTACCTTCAAATTTTACCCATGTATTACTTCTCATAGACCACTGCAAGAGGTTAGTCTGTAGCGTGGTTACCTCAGGCTTTGGGCTTTCATCGATTTCAGTGGCAGTTCTCCTATGAAGCCTTGACGTTGAGCTCATATGAGCAATATTGGTCCTAATTTCTCTATCTGCAGTAGCTGCTTCTGAGTTATTCCCTGCTTTGTGTGTGGAGGGGAAGGGTAAAAGTTGAAAGCCTGGTTTAATCTTTTCTGTATTTTAGGATCTTGACAGTGCTATAATATGGAGACAGAGTTTGGAGATGGAGATTGGAATCCTCCAAGATAAACTGACTGCTAACCAGAAAGCTTTGGATGCCTCAAAGCAGGAACTGTACAATCTGAAGAAATCTTCCAGTGAGCTGGATGGAAGCTTGAAGAGCAGCAGAGAAGAGGCCAGGACTGCTCAGAGCTCTTTAGTGGCTTTTAAAGAGCAAATTGCTACCCTACTCAGCAGTGGATCTGCAATAGTTAAAGCTTCCCAGAAGGCCATTTTGGAGAGGATCAGAGAATTAAATTGCAAAGAAGAGAGTAAAGAAGTAGTAAGTCAGAAACTACTGCACTTGTTCAACGTGTGTATTTATTCTCTTTGGATCCTTTTTCATTTTATTAATCTGTTAGAGTGTTGGTTCCTTCTGCTTAGGTTTTGAAATTGCAGAAACCTTGAATTTTGTTGTCTAATGATTTGATATAATAGCTGAAAATCATCTATGTTTTATTAAGTAGGAAGAGGTCAGAAATGAAATTAATAATAGATGCTGTTAACAACAAAAGACATGGAATGGTCTTGCAGTTAAGACATTGAAATTTGGTTTCAGTGTCACTTAGCGGACATCAAAAGTGGCTGTGTGGTCACTATGATTTAGTGGGACATATGAACAAGTATGGATTTTTTTCTACAATAGTGACTTCAAGACCTGACTTCTTTCTAGAAGCAGACATAACTGATGAGTTGCCCCAGGCAACTTCTTTCCCTCCAATCCTCAAAGCCTGCACCTAGAAAGAAAAAAGTATTTTTACACTTACAGGCAAACATTGTTGAAACTGTAGCTGTTCACCATCCAGGAGAAAGGCAATAGGAAGTCAGCTGGGTATTCTAATGCTCTGGCTCGAGGGGTTTTGGCTGGTAGTGTTTGCAAAGGTGTGTTTGCATGTACAGGTAGAGAAGGGACAGCTCAGGAGGAAGGCAAGCCAGCATACGGTCTGACCAATGTCAGTATCCCGACACTGCACGGAAGTTTCTCACTTGCTTACATGGGCATATACTAATTTTGTCAGCAAGGACTAGTATATAATTAAAAGTCACAAGGTAAATCAAAAGCTGTTTTCACTAAGCCACTGAAAAACAACTTCGGTGTCCTTGCTAGATTTTAACATTCTAGTAGCTCCTACTGATGTGATAGTTTTTTACGTTAGCAAATGTATTTCTACTCTGTCCAAGACTGGAAATAGCTCTTGAAAATATCCCTGTGCATTTTGATCAAGTATTTTGTTAAAAAATACAAAATGGCTTCCCTATACCTTAGTTTGAGAGGCAGTATGCCAAATTTTGATGAAAACAAGCTTTGTGAAAATTAATGTTTGAAAGGGATCCACTGAAGAGGAAGTGTGGCAGCAACTTTATAATATAGAAGCTCTTTACATTTTTGCTATATGTCACAGAGCATTGTTTCCATAAGCAAAATGCTTTCAAATTCAAATCTAATGAGAATTTTATGTGCATGTGTGTTTGTACTATTTGGTGTTTTGGCATGCAGGGCACTGCTGAGATGTTGATTATTTTGGGAACTGCTGAGGAAGGGAAATTTAAGTTGACTGGTAGTTAGTGAGTAAAAAGGTTTTGCTCCTGGGAGTGCTTTCAGGTGACCTGCTGCTTTTATAAGATTCAGATGCGGCTAAGTCCATTTGCATACAACATTGAGGAGCTGTCAGTATCTTTGTGGATAAGCTACAGTACATGTGTAGTGTGTACTACCTATTTCAGTTCTTATTGCTCCTGATTTTATTCCTCAATATTAGCTTTACATGCTGGGTTTCCCACTTGATCATCCTGTAGGCTGGTAGTATTGGGGAGGATTCAAATGTGGTCTTTATTTTGTTGCATTCACAAACTTTTCCAGCTTCTTGAGAGGAATGTGGCTGGTTCTCCAAGTAAGAGCGTTGCTTTGGGAAGTCATGTTCTGATAGAGAGCTACTGCAAAATATACAATAATCAACTATTCTTTTTATAAACAGCTGTGATTATTATTATTTTAGAGGTAAAGAGACTGCTGTTCAGAAAAACAGGTATTTTTCCATAACTGTGTTATAAATGATTTGTTTGGGTGCTATGGTCTAACCTCATTCTCTTCCAGAAAGACCTGTTGTTTTTTGGTTTTTTATTTGGTATCTGAGGATAGAGACAGATTTGGTTTTCAGTATTACTGCTGTCAAAATTAAATATACGTGCTGAAAGGAAGCCTTTATTACTAAGACAGAGCAGGTGTCCACTCCAATTTGCTGCTCCTGCCTAAACCTGTGGTTTGGAACAAAAGTGCTGGTCTTACAGTTGCCAGCTTTTGTTGGTTTGTTTTTATATAGCAGAGAAGTTATGTCAGGTATGTCTAGCATAGCATTCTGCCTCTGGCAGCAAATACAGCAGTTGCCTGCTATACTAGCAATACTCCCCCAAAACGCTAGTCCTTTCTACAAAAAAAAAAAATTGTGGCTCAGTTTCCTAAACTATGAAAAATAGCTTTAAATTTAATATTGCTTGGTGAATTTGGTCATTGTAGTTGAATGATGAAGTTTTGTGTATCATTGTATTTGGTAAGTATGTTAAGTGATGAAGCTTTGATGTTTTACTGTTATGAGTCATTTGGGAAAATTTATATGCATGGCTTCGAAGTGAATTATGTTAGTAAAGCAGTGCTGGCATCTATTCTCAGAAGAGTTTCTGCATTAAGATTAGGGGCTTTAAAATAACTAAGCTACAATGCCAGTATTATGCAGCTGTTTCCAATAGAACATAGACTTTGTCATCAAAAAGTTGTTTTACAATGCTTTTCTTTCTGCAGATCAGCATATTCCATTTGTAAGGAATATACATGTTGGTATATATGTGTCAATCAGGTTTCTATTTCATCTCTGGGTGAATTTCTTTCTAGGATTTGGCTATAACATCAGTGTTAGGATGTGTATGCTTTACTGTCAGTCAATCAGGAAGAAGATTAATTGTCTTCAGGTAGGATTTCTTACACAACTTCAGTAAACTGTGCAGCCTTCAGTAAAAGACCCACAAAAGTGAGTCATTAAATTTCTTTGCAGGGTAAATCAGCCTGTAGTGTTGCTGGTGCCCAAGCTAGCTTGTTTCAAGTCAGCTCCTTTGTGGCTGCAATCCAGCAGCAATGCCAGGACAGCTGATTATGAATTCAGTAGCCAAGTGCCTTGCTGCTGGAAATTAAAAAAGTGCTGAAGAATGTGCTAATGTGTAACAGGAGGAGGATTACAATTACCTATTCCCTTTCCCTGAGTAAGGATTGTTTCACTTCTGTCAGGACATTGTTGCAAGCATCTTGCCTTTGCAAACTGGATTAGTGGGATCAGGAAAAGACAGTGCAAGAATCTGGGAGAAAGAGGGCCCTCCCTGTCTGGCTGTTTTGATACCTTCTCTAAATAGGTTTTGTTTTTTCACTTTTAAATCATCACTGCGGCTCCTCTGAGAGTTTTGTGTATAGGATCAGTTATACTAGCTGAACTGGCAAAATGTTCTTCTCCATATACAAGCCCAGTCAGCTATGCCTGGCTTACCTCTGCACGTACACCTGTCAAACAGAGCCGGGAAAACTTCAGATTTTAAAAGGCCTGTGAGAAAATTATTCAATGCAACTGCTATAGTCAGATTTTCTGTGAAATCTGAAGTGTTCATGAAGATCATGTCCCCTGATTGTGGCAATTTTGGTATCTGAAGGGCATCTGTGTTAGTCATAGTCTGTATACAAGCCCTTAGCAGTAACCTTAGCAAAAATTGTAATTTCATGTGAAAAAAATTACAGTGTCCAGTGACAGGTATTTTATTGCAGGATTAAGAAACTGTTTTGAATCAGCATCCTAGTGATCTTTTCAGTAGTTATAGTGAGACATGTATCATCTGAATATGTTTGGACAGCTCTTGGGTGTTTTTGTCGTGTTGTAGCACGCCAGAGAGCTTCACAAGCACCTGGAGTCCAAGGCAAGCAAATATTCTCTGTTCACACAGAGCTCAGCCTTGGTTACAAGGTCTTTGAGTTCAGGTCCTTTCTATCTGACAAGTTTCATTGTAGATCTGTTGCAGCAAATTAAATTCAGATGGCCAAAACTGTTTCTTTTGACTACCTAGACATCTGACCTGAGACAGGAACAGCTGATCTGATCGTAGATTGTCTTAATTTTATCAATTTTTGTCACTGCATATTGATATACACACTCTTAAATGCCAAAATTGATTAGGCTTTACTGCTGCTCCAATTAAAATCTCCTGTTGTTCTTGTTTCTTGGTGATTTTTATGGTAATGTCATAAATGCATGTTTAGTTTTAGGGTTTTATCCACTTCATCCTTCCAAATAAAATAACTGAGTGGAAAAGAATCTGGGAAATTAAATTAAACATTGATAAAACAAGAGTAATATATGTGCTGACTTAAGGCTGACCTAGAAATCCACAACCAACTAGAAAGTGAGAAATTATTAGGAAAAAAGTTGAGAAGAAAATGAAAACCATAATTATGCCACTGTATGAATCCATGACTGCTGCGTTCTGAGTAGCACAGGCGGTTATGATAATTTCATTCAAAAAAAGGGCCTTCACAAAGTGCTGGAAAGACCCATGAGAGCGTCTAGAGGCTTCCATGCAGGGAAAGACTCAAAAGACAAGAACTTTTCAGCTTGGGATGATGAGTGCAACACAGTAAAGCAAAATACAAGTTGTAAGACCGCAGTAAGAGATGTGGCAGCTCTAATGCTGGTGAGGATCTTAAAAAAAATTTGTGCTAGGTGCACATGTGTGTGTGCGTGTGTGCATGGGTACATATAAAACAGTGGAAGTTTAAGATAACATCTTACCAAACCAGAACAGTATAGCTTGTTGGTTGTCAAGGTAACACTAAGAAGATGAGAATGTTTAGTTGTTATATTGGAAAAGAAAAGAAATTGCCACTGCGCTGTGAAGGACCCTATAACTTCATCCTGCATGCTGTTTTTTTCCACTCATCCTAAGTTCCCCATGTGCCTGTCTCCGTGGCTTTTGGGCTGTTGAGGGAAACGCCCTACTGACAGCATAGCTGTAGCCCGCTTTCTGTTCTGGTGCGCTGTGGGGCTGGGTCTGTTGCTTGCTTCTTAGCACAAGAAAACAGAAAAAAAGATTAGCACAAGAGAAAAATGTAGTTCAGGAAGATTTTACTGAGGGTTATTCAGTTGCAGCAGGGATGAACCTTGCCATCCCTAAGGTAGGAGCTGCCTCTGGAAAGGAGTGTTTGCAGCTTCTTTTAACACAAGAAATAAAAGGTCTTCGTTTGAAATTATCTGGTAGCCACATTAAAGCAAAAAGCAGGAAGTGTTGAAGTGTTATTTAGCAGGCTGGCTGATCAAGCTGCACAAGTCACTGGCACGGGAAATCGTGGAGGTCAGAACTGCAGGACCAAAAATGCCTGTGTACGTCGCTGGATACAGGCATGGGTGGGTAATAAGGGTGCAACTCGATTTTAGGGAATCCATAAGTTGTTGTTTGTCCGTAACCAAGGATGAAGGTTACTCCAGGATGCTCTGGAAGATAAACTGACAGCTTGGTGGTTCTGTGGTCTCACCTTCTGTGGTATGATCTCTCACCTTCTCGTGTTTATGGACCTTTGGAACCTGTGGAAGCCCCACAGGGCTGGGCTGTGCCCAGAGCCACTCCGCAGCCGGACAAAGGGGCTCTTGGCTCTCCGGCAGCAGTGCGTCTCTGTGGGCACGAGCTACTGAAAGCTCTTTTTTTTTTCTGCTGAGTGATATGTGATGCAGAAAAGCATAAAATGCGTTGGGGAGGTTCTTGCAGTTTTATTAATTTTTAGTGTTTTCTACCACTGTATGAGCAGCAGTAATTTCTCAGTGTTTTTTAGGTGGGTTGGGTGCAAACTATTGTTTGTATTTAATTGCAGTCTAAGCTGGAAACCTTTCTATGCCATTACAATTTATGGGAGTTTTGTGTGCTTATTGTTCATTTTATTACCAGGAAGCAAACAGATGCTTAAAATTAAAAGACTGCTTGGAGATGAATGTCTGAACACTGAATTACAAATGCAACATAATTAATTAAGTAACCAAATAATTATATGACAATAAGAAGAGGAGAGAGGGAAAACGGGAAGCAAGCAAATTTTTGGATAGAACTGTCTTTCAGTATTTCAGTATTCAGTATTAAGTTTACAACTTAAAATCCGTATGTAAGTGTTGCAAAGTTAAGCGTCTTCAGAATTGTTAGTCTAGTGTCTCGTTATGAGATTTTATCCTTTTAGCCTTGGGCTTTGGCTAGATTACAGATCTTTTTTTCTTTTTTTTTAAAGCAAAATCTTCTAGTTAAACACCCATTAAGAGTTATCAGTGGTTACACGCTCCTCTGAGACTTAGTTATCCATATCTACATTTTCACATGCGGCATATATTTTCTAAATCACTTGTCTTTTTCCACTCAGCCCCTAGACAGAGTAGTGATTTTATTGGCTTATTTTAAAAGGTGTTACCTGACTGCCAGGTATTGCTTGTTTGTTAACATCTTTGGAAAGTTTGTGCCTAGATAATTTTGTATTAATTTTTGATATTAGCCGCTTTAGACAGCTGACTCATTTAAATATGGTTTCTGCTGTTCACTTTTGGATGTCTCACATGTCACCTCTTCTGCCATTTTCTCCTGGTGGTTACAGCAGATTTTTCTCTTTTTGTCTTTTTAAATGCATGGATTTTAAAGGTAGATATTTTACTCTCTTTTTAATAATTAGAGGATGCATCTTTTATATCTTTCTAACATTTCAACACCCACCTAACCCCATATGTTGTGTTGGTTTCCTTGCTCCCTAGATGGTATCTCAGCTTAAAACTCAGATAGCTAAGTTGACCGAAGCTTTGGAAAATCAGACCACATTGTACCAAGAAGCTCTGGAGAGGAGCAGGAAAGCTGAAAAGTGTTCTGAGACTTTCCAGGATCACCTGAAACACTTGGAAGAAGAATTGCTCTCTGTAGATCTGATGCAAGATGGTTTGAAGCTCGAGAAACAAAAAGTAGTTGCATTCATTATTTTCTTTTGCATAAAAGTCACTAAAGACAGAAATACAGCTAATTGTATTGCAGTGATTAACTGGAGTGTTACAGTACTGTAAGTGACGCGAATTAACGAAGTCAGGCATCATGTAGGAAGTAATAATATTTTCTTTGACCGACAATTTTGTTTAGAAAAAGTAGCTAAGCTTTTGAGTTCAAAGTTCATTTAGTGTGAAAAAATCCCAGATTAAAAGAAGTGTCTGTAAATACAGCAGAGGTCCTTCAAGGATTCTCTGATCTCAAAGCTTTCTCTGATCTCTCCATCTTTCTGTAATTTATTCTCTGGTCTGCAGTCTTTCAAGATCTTGCAGTCCTATATTCTTAGACCATCAAGGCTACCGGGATTTTTTTATTAGTTTTATGAATGACACACTGTTAGCCTGTAACACATCCACATAGTAGGAGCTTAAAAAATGACACAGTACCTGGAAATCTAAATCAACCATCCAATACAGCTAAGAATGACAAAGTTGTAGCGTGTTACCAGGCCAGGATCAATGCTTAGAAAGTTGAATTCGCAAAGAATCAACAATTTGGTGCTGTCTGTTTGGCATTAGTCTATGATACAATAATTTTTACGAATCAAGCATCCACCACATTGGGAGCAAACCAGAAAATGGAGCTGTTCCTTCCCCTCTGCTTCCTCTGTGAAGAATATGTGGCCCTAGTTTCTTAATTTCTCTCTGAATTTTTCTGCAATAAAGACATTTTCGTTGTTATTTTTTTCTGTTGATGAACATCTTCAGTGCTTTCTTCTGCTGCTGCTTTTTGTAACATTCTGAATGAGAAGCATCATGAAACAAAACCAGATTCTTGCGATGTTTTATCATCTTGGGGCCAAACAACATTTATGGAACTGGTTTGTTGGTGTGGTTTTTTTTTTTTTGATTGCTTTTTCTTTGCAAAGGTTATGACCTGCAACAGAAGTAAGAAAAATCAAAGGCAAACATAGTGCTTAGTGAGAAGGAGAGCTTTGGATTTTGCAAGAAAGGCTAATTGCGACCAGGGAGCTAATGTGATTTTTAAGGAGCTAGCAGGGCAGGACAAAAGAAGGAAAACCCAGATGAAATAATATTTGATAACTGTATGTGTTCACATCAGTAAACCAGATGGGGTTGCAATTAAAATAATCTTTAAAGCAATTTGTAAACAACTGTTATCTCTAAAACTTGCTGTTCCAAAGGAGGGCAAAAGATGCAGGAATGTTAACATTCTCAGACTACTACGGATCTCACCCATGGCATCCCTGGTACCAGTTTTATCTGATTTAGAGCTCGCAGCAGTGGGCAGTCATAGCCCTTGCAATTAATTGGGGTGTAGTTGTCCTTTCTAACTTCTCCCTGCAAATGCATGGTGGTGTAAAGCAGCAGAGCCACAGGCAGGAACTGGAGTCAGAAGCGGACACAAATACTTAGTCCCTTTCTTACTGCAGAGGAGCAAAAACCAATCTGGTGTCACTAAGAAGATAAATACAGTAGGTCCAGGGAATTCTGAACAAAATAAATGTAGACTAAAAAAGGACAAATGGAGAATTCGCATTTGTGTCAGGGATGTGTGCTATAATCATACCCTTTCCATACATTATTTCTTGTGGATAGTGGACTTGGCTATGCATAATTGGTTGCCAGTGCAGGGGGAATTGTACTTCAGGACTTTTAATGAAGTTTTTTATTATTCTTTTACCCACTTTTCCACATCTTAGTATCTGAAATTTCTGGAGCAACTTAATGAGAAGATGAAGCTGGATAGCCTAGCAGCAGAGGTTGGATTTGATATGAATGTGGATGCGATTCTAGCCTGGGTGGAGCAGTTAGTGAAACTGGAAGGTGATGCAGTGATTGAAAACAAGACTATGGCATATAGCCTAAGAAGGAAGGTAGGCATAAAAGACATACCGTTACTGTTTGTTTCAAAGATAAACCTTGTTAGGCTATATTTCTGTAATGGCTTGCTAGAGGCAGCAGATTGGAGCTTCATATATGTACAAGGGATTTCAAAAATGTCCGTTACACAAAAAAGAAGATAGCAAACATTTGCAAACTGTGCAAACAGACTGCATATTAAAACAACTAAAACCACCAGTTGGTTCAGTACATGATACTACTTTTCACAATTTTATGAATAAAAACGTGACGTTATGAGTGTTTATATGTGTATATATGTCTACTTTTTAATACACATTTATAATACACTTTGGTAAACAACTACCATCGGTATTTAAATCTAAAAGAATCTGCTGGGAAGGCGGGCATATTACACAGACTTCTCTAGGTTGTACTTCACCAAGAACTTCAACATTTCCAACAAGAACTGTGGTCCTTTAGGAGAAAATCTGTTCAAAACTGGTCAGACACCCCTCTGTCATTCTGTTATGGCAAAGTGAAATCTTCTGGTTTTAGGCTTATCAAGATGGTTTAGAGCTTAAAATTAGGCCTGTTTAAGGTTTGAAACAACACTATTTTTTTCTGGAAGCAACTGCCTCTCTAGCAGGGAGTATAGTATGTATGCTGATACTCCTCAGATGTTCCAGAGTAAAGCCTGGCAGCTTAGCTCAGGTAAACTAAACACAGGTAGCTCCATGGGCACCAAAATTGCAAAACTGAGATGCTGGATCTTGTATTGGAGCAGTGGATGAAAGCTTTCTTATTTCTCTGTGTTGATTCTCCTTCTTGCACGCTAGTCTTAATTAACTGACTGAAGATGGAAATATCTTAAACTACCACCACTGAAACCACTGTCTCCTTAATGAGTCTCTCTTACCTCTTGCACTAGTGTCTTATACTTCAGATTATACGATATCAGATGTTATGAATGATGCACAAGTATTTATGTTCAAATAGGGTGCAGTCTTAAGTAAATTCATTCCAAAACATAGTGCACAAATTCAGGAGTGGAGAAGAACAATGAACTGGTAATGTAATAGGTATTAAGTTAGTGTATATATGTTTATAATGCTTTACAGAGTTTTCAAGAGAGGAATAGGAGTTCAGGTTAAATACGCAACATGGGGATTAAATTTGCAAAACTATCTGTGTAGTACCATTGTCTTTCATATATATTTTTTCAAATATCCATGTGTTTGGAAAACTAGTTGAAGACTCAGAGGGAAAAACTTGAAAGCAAAGAGCTGCACATGAACCTTCTGCGGCAGAAAATAACCCAGCTGGAAGAAGAGAAGCAGCTAAGGACTGCCTTAGTTGTGGAAAGGGATGAGGCCAATCTCGCTGTCAGAAAGTTACATAAGATGATAGAGAGGTTACAGAAGCAGCTTGATCTGGCAAGGGAAACGAATACTAATCTCAAAGCCAAGCTGTCTGAAACCAATGAACTTAAGGTGAGTTAAAAGGTTATATATGTGATTCCATCCATTTTTCTATTCCAGTTGGATACAGCTGGAGTTCATTTACAATAAAAGTGTTCATGAAGAACTGCTCAAATCCACCTAGGTGGGGAAAGCAAATATAATATTACAATGTTTTTGGATATTTTGCAAGTTGTCTTGATATACTAAGTAGTATCTGTAAAGCACAGTATAAATTTTCTGGCTAGTGTAAGAAAACTACGATATATGCATCTCTTTCCTGTTGATATGGCTGTAATCTTATATGTTCCCATAAGTTGCTCACAGAAGATCTATTCTGATAGTTATGGGGGGGAAAAAATGGGGGTTTTCCACATGAAACAGGCAAGATGCTAAATTTTCATTTTTCCTGTGTTTTATTACATTGCAGCAGTAATAAATTACCTGCTTTAACTCAGGTGAATACAAGTAGTTTGGTGTCATTGATAGCTTGCCACCGCTGGAAGAAAGGAAAATTGGTTTTATACGAGTTTGTCTCTTGTGGTTGATGGAGTGAAATAGATAAGTAGGTGCATGTTCCAGCTGAACAATTTTTACCAGCAAAACATTTGGCAACTCTGTCTCATACTACTTTTCCAGGAGCTAGCAGAGAGTGAACTCTCACTGTGAGTTTTTGTCTGCCTCATTTACCTCTTTTCACAAAACCTGTAGAGAATTGACTGTCTTTGAGACAATTTTTTTTTGTTAATTGAGTTTAAATTGGCCAGTCTCCTTTACTAACTTCAGCTCACACGTGCGTGTGATTTCATCAAGAACCTATATGAAACAACAATAAACTGCTTACTCATGATTACTCCTGATATTTTTTTTATTTGTGTTAGATGAAAAAATGTGACAAATTTAACATTAATTTATGTTATTGCAGATCAAAACTTTGGAGCAGAGCAGAATAATAGAAGAACTCAGTAAGTCTCAAGGCAAATTGGAAAGGATGAAAGAAAAGGCTGAGAAACAACTTAATTCTGTCAAATCAGAACTTCTTTTAAAGGATTGTAAAGCTACTGAAGACAAAGAAAAAAACAAAAATATGTTAGAAGCAGTTACCAGTGAGATGAAGGTGCTTAAAACAACCCTTGCAGAATTAGCAAAAAGAGAGAAACAGGTAGGTATATACGTATTTGACAAGTGCTAGCTGTCACATAGAATATAAGAATGTGGTATAGGTGGAGCAGCTATCCAGCTGTGCTGAAAGCTTTTGTGAACATTATTAAACGATGAAATTTTAGCTCACACTTGTGAGCCAGAGTGGCAGTTGTGATTCTGACAAGCAAAGCTGTTCTTCAAGTTTTATATGTAAGAGAATGAATAATAAATACAGGCATTATCATCTCTGTTCATTGCAAAAAATTATATCACCTTTTGGAGAAGTATAAAAATACTTTAAAATCCTAGTATCTTTTTAAGGTAAGTTTTTTCCATATGTCTTGGGTATAAAACTTACCAGCTTCTCCTCATCCATTTCCTTTTGTTTCTCCCCATCTGTCTGTCATACTCTCTCCTTGCCAGCTGTATGAGATTCAACAAGGTTAAGTGACAGGATGAAAGGAAATGGCCTCAAGTTGTGCCAGAGGAGGTTTAGTTTGGATATTAGGAAAAATTTCTTCACTGAAAAGGTTGTCAACCTTTGGATCAGGCTGCCCAGGGAAGTGGTGGAGTCACCATCCCTGGAGGTATTTATAAGACATGTAGATGTTTTGCTTAGGGATATCATTTAGTGGTGGACTTAGCAGTGTTAGTTTTGCAGTTGGACTCAAAGGGTTTAAAGGTCTTTTCCTAAGTGATTCTGTGATTCTGTGTTGCCACGTATAGATTCAAGGAATGTTGGAAAAAATCAGAAAATTAACAGAAAAAGCAAAATAACTTAATATTGAACCTAACTATTTTGGATCGATTTGTGACATATAATTTTGTTAAAGTTTAAGAAAAATTTTTGTGGTAATGCACCTTGGGGAAGGTGCAAGGAGTTTGTGGGAAACACAGTTAGTAAATGTGTTCCATTCTGATTTCAAAAAATTGTGAATTGTGTATGCAATTGCCCTGCATATTGTGTTTTGTAGCAACAATATAGATGGCATAACTTTTGAAAGCCAATGGGATGCTTCTTTAAAGTAAAAAAAATGTAATTTTAAATTCTCTGTTCCAAATGCTTAGAACTTTGTTCATTTTTCCAGCTAAAATTTTTATGCTATATATTGCCTTATCAATGACTGGATGAAATGTAAGGGTGCTATTTCAAAAAATGAAACTAGAAAAATATTTTTTTGCTCACATGGAGAAAAGACTAATAACTTGGGGATCTTTCTTTCTGGAAAGTTTTAGCACTCTTTTGTTTTATAATGAAGGTTAGAAATTTAGCAGGAAAATTTCATTTCTTCATATGTCTCATGAGAAAATAAGCATCCTGCACACAGAAAAAGGTATGAATTATATTCAGGAAATTGTTCCATGGAGTCATACATTGATTACTTGCTAAAAACACACAAATGTTGAATTTTTGCTGTCTGAACCTAAGGTGTTTCAAGCCACTTGAATACTGTTGCAGTGTTCTTTGCACAAATTTGAAGAATATGGGAGAACTGAGGTAAGTGGGCTACAAAGTGCAGAATGCTCAAGCACAGCTTAGCACTAGTTCTCAGGCTTTCCGGGTGAGTGAAAGAAAAATGTCAACTTACTATTCACCAGCATCCACAATCATCAATGTCACAGGAGCATTTCAGATACTTGCAGGTGGAACTACACTGCTAAACTGGGAGCAAAACTGCTGGCAAAACTAATGCCTGCTACCAGTGCAGTGCTGATTAGCAGTAATGGCATTTTGAGAATATAAGAATTGCCAGTAATATTTATAGCATACTCTTCTGTATCTTACCAGTTTACTTAGCTAAGATCTATCCTTAAAATAAAGCTACTGTCACTAAATCAGAGAATTCATTCTAAACTCTCTCTCTCACTAATTAACGCATGAGATTTTTTCCTGACTTCTCCTGAAACCATTACCCGAGGAGAATTCCTTCCTTATCCTCAAACCTGTGTAGTTCTTCGCCTGCTTTGGACTCGCATGTTCTTTCTTCTTGAGGAAGCTAAACAAGACCAGACTTCTCTCACTCTGCGTAAAATGTAGTGAATACAGATGTTAAATACTCCTCTGAGCATGTGCTAATCTGAGTACAAGCACAGCCACGTCATCTACGTATGTATGCATGTTATTAAATAGCATCTTAATATTGCATGGCTATTTTCTATGCTGTCAAAATTAAAAGTATGCCAAATTAAGCTACTACGAACAGGTTAAGACACTGATTTGTCTTGTGATCATAAAGAAAGGCAAAACATACCCAAGTGAAATGAGAAATTAAGATCTGTTTGAAATAATTTGAAATTATTTTATAATTGTCATTTAACCCAGAGTTTCTGGTTGTTCTTTGCTCTTTAGACTATTAATTCCTACTAAGTTTAAGAGGAAAATTTAGCTTTGGTATTTTTGTGTTTTGTTCCTTTTTCCCCCCCAAGACCCTTAAGAGAATGCACAGAATCAAAGCATCCAAACTGTTAGAAGTGAAGCCCTGTAAGCAGGGTGTAATAACACTCCCAGTCTGCTTTAGGACTAACTGTTGGCTCTGGTGGCTGTAATGAATAACACCAAAGTGTGCATATTCTTGGGTAGACGTATGAAACCATTTAAAGAAATGGTGTTCAAAGCATTATTAAATCATACTGCAGAGTAAAAAACATAGAGAGCTGAAGCTATATGTGAAGAGTCAAAAAAGTAGAGGTTACTAGACTTCAAATAGTGGGGAATTAGATGGATATATTGAAATTTTACAAGAGTAAGGGTAAGTTTATAGATATCTATACTGGATTTCCTCTGTGGGGTGAACAGAAAACCTTCCCGACTTCATATATAATTATCGCATATTTCTGAATATAAATAAATACCAGCATAGCCAACGTTCATTTTAATAAGACTAGATAAAGGGTATGGATGACTGATGACAACAGGATGTTCATAGGGACTGATAACATTAGTATGTTATGCACTCAACTGACTGCAGTCAACTACAGATTAAAATCTGAATATATTTTATTTTATTTTCATATCAGTTTAAGTCAAGTCCTTATTTTCAGTAGTACTTGGAGTAAGAATATAAATCTCAATGTTTTGGTTGAGTTTTTGATGATTTTGTTATAAGGATTTTTTCCAGTCTTAGTTTCAGATTCTCTTTTTCTTTCTGTTGGAATAGGACCCCTTCTACTTTCCTGTACATACAGCGTGAAAACAAAATGTAGTGTCTGTTTTTTACTTCTGCTCCCCCCTCCTGATATCTTGGGTTAATGCTCTAAATTGCATCGATTTCCTCTCTTTTACTTCAGACAGTTTTACTCACTGGTTGGAAGGTGCAAAGAAAATTTATCACGAGTGCTTACTGCTGTAGCAAACCTTTGGTTGTGAGTCTTTAGTGCTGCTTGTCCTTTAATGTTTCTTACTTCAAATTGTGACTATCTTAGAAATGTTAACTGCTATTGAAGAAAGCCTTAAATAGAGAGTTAAGTGATACTTCTCTTAGCTTCTGGTATTTCAGCAGAACTGTTGTGTTCTTAATACCAGTGTTGCATTGTTTTTAAAGCATTTCTCATGTGATTTTTTTTTCTAGGTCTTATATGTTTCAGTGCAAGATTTAAAAAAGTTGTTCATGATGTTTTTAAACCACTGTATCCACTTAAGAGTGTGAGCGCACAACTAGCTCTATGTGAGCCATGCGATAGTATTCTAAAGATCGTCCAGCGTGTATCGTCTGTTGCTTTTGTTTTGAGTTTTTGAAGTCCAAATTGATGTCCTCTGGTGGGGGATCTTTACACCCAAGAGTGATGGTTCTCTTTTTCAGTTTACATGGAGAGTTTCTCTTTGTCATCAACCCTTTTTCTACATTTTCATTGAACTACAACTTTGTCTGCACTGTACTTTATAAGCCACTATATAGTAGTCAGAAAAATTGTTTTTTGTGTAAGTGTTATTCCATTGAAGCAGACAAAAATCCTCAATTTAAAATTCACATAAATGTATGGCTTAAAGGATTTATTTAAGGGCTCTTTGTGCTTTCCAGTTTAGGTTACTTACTGATGAAAGTTATTGACTTCTTAACGTATTTATTGTCCATTCAGTATAGCTATGACCTGCTTTTCCCATCAGAAATAAAGAGTGAGGTGACAGTCTCTACATTTTCATTTGTATCTCTTCCCTCTGGCAAAAAAGTTTGACTTATAATGGTCCATAATGTGAGTGGAGAAGAGTAAATTGGCATTCATGTTCATCAGATCTTAAGTGTTTAATCTGGTTGCTGGCAGAGTCACTAGTGATGACAATTACTTGTGGATGTCTGTCAATTTGGAACTTCAGAGAGAAAGCTGGTTTCTTTAATTACTTTGCCAAATACCCTTCCTATGGTGTATTTTCAACAGCTACACACAGAAGAAAAATGAGCATTTCCTAGGCTACATCTTGAATTTTGGCTGCATCCTGATTCCAAGTGTAAGTCAGACTGTGGGGTGTGCCAAACCTCCACCTTTCTTCTAACTGCCTCCTTTCTGCTCTGGTTTCCTCAAGAAAGCACAGGGTGAAGGGGAATGGTGGCAGGCAGTGGTCTGGAGCTTGAGGTCAGGACCAGCACCTTAGCCTGTGCTGTGGGATGTACCCACCAGATTTTCCAGTTGCCTGTGTAGTTTGCGGTCACACAGAATCACAGAATGTTAGGGGTTGGAAGGGACCTCTGTGGGTCACCTAAGTCCAAACCCCCTGCCAAAGCAGGGTCACCTAGAACAGGCTGCACAGGACCGCATCCAGGTGGGTCTTGAATATCTCCAGAGAAGGAGACTCCACAACCTCTCTGGGCAGCCTGTTCTAGGGCTCCGTCACCCTCAGAGGGACGAAGTTCTTCCTCATGTTCAGCTAGAACTTCCTGTGCTTCAATTTGTGACCGTTTCCTCTTGTCTTGTCGCTGGGCACCACTGAAAAGAGTCTGATCCCATCCTCTTGAAACCCACCGTTATAATATTTGTAAGCGTTTATAAGATCCCCTCTCTGTCTTCTCTTCTTCAGCCTAAACAAGCCCAGATCCCTCAGCCTTTCCTCATAGGAGAGATGCTCCAGTCCCCTAATCATCTTCAGGGCCCTCCTCTGGACTCTCCCCAGTAGGTCCTTGTCTTTCTTGAACTGGGGAGCCCAGAACTGGACAGAGTACTCCAGATGTGGCCTCACTAGGGCAGAGTAGAGGGAGAGGAGAATCTCCTTCAACCTGCTGGCCACATTCTTCTTAATGCACCCCAGGATCCTATTGGCCTTCTTGGCAACAAGGGCACTCTTCTGGCTCATGGTCAGCTTGTTGTCCACCAGCACTCCCAGATCCCTCTCCGCACAGCTGCTTTCAAGCAGGTCGGCCCCTAGCCTGTGCTGGTGTATGGGGTTATTCCTCCCCACGTGCAGGACCTGCCTTTGCCCTTGTTGATCTTCATGAGGTTGCTCTCCTTTCTTTTCTCCATGGAAAGCCCACAGGCTCCTTGCAGAATCAGCAAACTTGCTGAGGGTACATTCTAACTCTTCATCCAGATCATTGATGAATAAGTTGAATAAGACTGAGCTGAGTACTGACACCTGGGGGACACCACTAGTTACAGGCCTCCAACTAGACTCAGCACCACTGACGACAACCCTCTGAGTTCTGCCATTCAGCCAGTTCTCAGTGCACCTCACTGACCACTGATCCAGCCCACACTTCCTGAGCTTCCCTACGAGTGTTATGAGAGACAGTGACAAAAGCCTTGCTGAAGTCGAGGTAGACAACATCCACGGCTCTCCCCTCATCTACCCAGCTAGTCACGCCATAGTAGAAAGCTATCAGATTGGTCAAGCATGATTTCCCCTTGGGGCGGAATGAATCCATGTTGACTACTCCTGATAACCTTCTTTTCCTCCACTTGCTTGATGATGACCTCTAGAATGAGTTGCTCCGTCATCTTTCCTCGGTTGGAGGTTCCCTGGGTCCTCCTTCTTGCCCTTTTTGAAGATTGGAATGACATTGGCTTTCCTCCAGTCCTTGGGCACCTCTCCTGTCCTCCAGGACCTTTCAGAGATGATGGAGAGTGGCTCAGCAATGACATCTGCCCGCTCCCTCAGTACTCGTGGGTGTGTTCTTTTGGGGCCCATGGATTTGTGAGCATCCAGATTGCTTGAGTGATCAGTCATCTAGGTCAAGTACAAAACCTCTTCCCATCTTTTCCTCAGTTTTCGTTGTTGAGTCAGCAGGGAAGGTATGCCTGTGAAGGATACTAAGGAACACTTCAAACTGTGTTTTGTGTTCAAGATCCTTAGCACTTCAGCTGTTTACATGTTCTGTTATTTGAGGTACACCCCAAAAGGCTGTTTCCATCCTCTTCAGCTCTCTGTATTGAGCAACAGTAGAAATGTCTATATTTTGCACTGCTAATACAAATGCTTGTGTTTGTAGTATGCACAGATGCTTATGTTTTTGCAGGCATCTCCTTTGCTTGGTATTTAGTTTATTAGTAATTCCTTTCTGTTTGCTCTTGCAGTTGGAAGATTTCCGAGAGGTGGTCTCTCAGATGCTGGGCCTCGACATTGCCAGCCTCGCTCTTCCTGACTATGAAATCATTACACGTCTTGAAGGGTTGATTCACTTGCACCAGCACCACTGCTTCCCCTGTGTCTGCCTCAAAGGTGCAGCAAGAGCACCAGAGGAACACTTGTGAAGAAACATACAGCTTCTTCACTGAAACACGCTCTTTGTAAGGAGACAGAACAAAGTAAAATTTTCTTTTGTGCTTCCCTACCTGCTAGATATGCATAGAAAACAGGTACTTATTTCTGTTCTCTACTCTGACAGGTACCGACTCGGGCTGATTTTTAGCGTTTCAGTAGGGAGACTGAGCCGAATGGATAGAGTGAAGCCAGCAGGCCAGAAACAGCAAGCAGAAAATCCCTGGGCATTGTAGTACTTTGGTTAAGAAAACAACAGGCAATGTATGAACAATGTTTAGCCCTCCAGTTTCATTGCAGAGGCACTGAAGGCGTGGTCCATGTGAGGTCAGTTCACAGTTTTGGGAAGTACTCGCTGATGAATGTCAGCTTCAGTGACATTCCTTGTGCTTTACCTCTGGATAACAGGGGTGAAATAAAGTGAGGGTTGTCCCACTGCTGTTCCTCTTGCAAAATGGGACCTCTCTCTGCATTTTTATGCCTGAGGACTTTAGCTTCAAGACAGTTAGCTGGAAGTTAGACAGAGAACTGTCTCAATCTTGGAACAAAGCATGTTTTTCTTCTGTTGTTTTTCTTAGTCTGCGCTTGTGCCAAAACAAAAAATTACGCTTTTTCAGCAGAGGCTCTTTCACAGGGTCCAGTCATGTGCCTGGTGTAGATCTATTTGGTAAAATTGCATGGTTGTGATGCCGAGAAAGTTTGTTTTCTGGCTTCTGTTTTCCTTGGGTGGTTATTCCGTAGGCCATATAAGTGGCAGTTCTTCTGAGTTAATAAAAAGTTATTTTAAAATCCACTGTAGCAAATGGTTGAATTGCTGAAGTCTTTATTTGCAGAAAAGCTGATGAGATGTCCAGAAAGCTGCTTGTCTATCACCCTTTATGAGTGTTGTTAAACTCAATGATTTTTTTAAAGAAATTTGAACAATAAATCTGTTTTAATAGCACACCCAAAAATGATTCTGTGTTTTACGTTGTCTCTTCCTGTTGTATTCTATGTATGGATGTGTAGAACAGTAAAGAAGACTTTCCTATTTGTAAAATTTACCTATATAAGTCATTTGAGGAGATATGGTAAATCATATATTCTTATGATCCTATGGCTTCATTCATGTTCTCATTAATAAATATTATACAAAGCATATTTAACATATTGTGATTTGTTATATTAATATTTTGAAATATTAATAATAAAGTTCATCAAAGAATATGACTTCTTAGCTGACTATTAATTTTCCCTGTATTTACTTTACTTTTGGAAGAGCACTGACATCTTTGTTCGTTTAGCCAAAGTAAATACCAAAAAAAATAAAAAAGGTAAAGAGGTAATTTGACATGAACAAAGTTCTGGTGATTTTTGACCCATGTAATTTAATTAACCCCAGAACAAAGTTTAAACTGACTTGCTATCTTTTTTTAAGACCTGTTGCATACAGCATTGAACTTAGTCTTCCTTTTGGAAAAAAAAAATTAAAACACACACATGTGAATATTTTCAACATTTGTTTCAAACATGTTCTTTTTTAAACCAAGATCCATTCAACACAAGACAGATCTGATAGAAACTTGAATTTCTGTATTAAGGCTGTGCCAGGAGACACCCCTCTTTCAGTAGGTTATTTTTGCTAGATTTGTTTGTATTAATAAAAGGTATGGGATGAAGAGTTTGCAGTCTTTTATTGTGATGAAGGATTCTTGATTTATCAACAGAATACATATTAAAAAAAAAAGTAATAAGTGTGAAATCACAGAATGGTACAGTTACAGAGCTAGATTTTTTTCCTCTAATAATAGCTGAGCCAACTCCGATGAAGACAACTTCATTATTTCAGATTGGCAGTTTTTAAAAATGGAAAAACTCAACAAATTAAAATGTTGTAATTGTAGATACTGAAATGAAATAATTTACATGCCATAAGCATTGTACTGATAAAATCGCAATGCAAATAGAAAAATGAATGTTACCATGTTATGAGTGTATTAGAATATATGCAACTTTTGTCTATACAGCATATTGTTGATAATACATTCTTCAAGACACAGAGATTAATGCAGTAGAACCATGATTCCTCAGAGAAATTAAGTGCAAAAGTAGTTAAATGCTTTGCTGAATTAGAATTAGGAAGCATAAAGACAGATCATATTAAATGACGCTGCGACTTATGTTGCTCCAGAGTTTAGTATTGCTGTGTAAAGCAGCTTGCTGGCTTTTCCACATTTTCTTTCTGTGGATGGTGTGTGCATCCTCCACATTTTCCTAGGGCTGTTCAGTTACTGGATTATTTGACACATTATGATGGTGCAGAGGAGAGGATATATGGATGACCCAAGTCATAATAGATTTTAAATTAATAAAAGCAGGTGGGGAATCGGGCACATTTGTAGAGAAGATGGCTACTAGATCATGAAATAGAAGTATTTTTTAAGACTATAGATGCTGACTGTTTCTCTTGACCATGAAAAAGAAAAAGTGGGAGGAATGGAACAAAGTGAAGTGAAATTCTCTATGAATTATAGAGAAGAGGGATCTCTGATATTACTGAAGCACAAAAAACAAAATTAGTTAATTATGTGGAAAAAAGAAAAAACGATAGTTTGCCAGAACAGAAATTGAAAAGCATGTTCAAATGTAATCCTTTCAAGTGAGAGGTTTCAGATTGCTCTGTTCTTCTGTCAAAACAAGTAAGAATCCTCTATGGCAATGCTTTTTTTTTTCTGCAAGAAGAGGAGGATGAGTTTATTAGACTGTACTCACAATTACTCAGGAATAACTGAGTCATAAATGAAAGATCTACAAAACAAGGCAATTTGCTTGAACAAAATAGACAACCTTTCTGACAGTTTAAAAAGTCAACTAATGAGCCGTGAGACAAAGAACACTCCTTTTCAGAAGGTAATAAATAAAACAGTTGAGAGATGTTTTCTTATTTTTTCCCCTGTGATTACTTACACTTTTTGGTAAGTAGGTGAAACAAGAAAAAGAAGATTGCAGTGTGAGCAAATGGGGTCCAAACTGTTAACTTCCAAGTGGTCCCAGGTAGAGAAACCGAGTGTTAGATGGCTTTTGCTAGTGCTGGGGATGTGGCTGGCGGGCACGAAGCCTAGCCAAGCTGGGAGCTGAACAGGATTAGGCCCCTGGATATGGATATGTACACAAGTGTTTCTATAAAAGGATAATTTGGGCTTTTTTTTTTTTTGGAAGTGGAATGTTAGTGTGTTGAGTGGGGAAGGTGTGTGCTTACTTATAAACCAAACATCCAATTGACTATTCATACTATTTTTAAATAGGCTGTTGAATGCAATTTAATCTGAAAAAAGAACCTGATATTCTTGTTACCACACCTTGGTCGTGAGAAACGCTATTTAGAGTGCCGATTAGGAGGCCTGAATTCATTCCAAAAGACTAAGCTTCATTTCCCCTTCAGAAATCCAGCTGCAACCTCCTGGGGCCGTTGTTCCTGCCAGGCGGTGCAGCCGGCCTCTGCCCGTGCCCCAGGAGCATCCCTGTGGGCAGCTCAGCCCCCGGCCACGGGCCGCCCGG